CTCCCCTTAGCATCTGGTCTTGGTCATACATATTGAGCATGCTGGATGGGGCCTTAGAGGCTTTTGGACCAACTGACTCCTTTTACAAATGAGGAACTGAGGTCCAGAAAGGGGAAGTGACTTTCTCAAGGCTGCAGAGTTAATAAGTGCCAGAGACAAGAACGTAACCCAGGCCTGAAAGCTCCAAGTATAGGGCTCATTCCACTGCATCACATAGAGAATAAGCACCAAGCATAGTTCTTAAAAGCCAATGATGGGCACAGAATGGGTGAGGCAGGCAGTTGCTAGGTGTGCCTGAAGCCCAAGCAGGTCTGAGTGGGTCTGGAGGCTGAAGCTGGGAAGGTGGGCATCTTATTCCCAGAGAAGGCAGCAGAGAGGGCAGGGCTAGTGAGGGAGTCAGAACATCCTTTACCTGCCACGGTTTGCATTTTTCCAGGAGTCCTCATCATATGCTTCATTCATTTCATCCATTTCCTGGGCTGATCGAATGAGCTCCTGGATATTCTCTATCATCATAGGAGTAGATTCCACTTCCCGCACCCGAGGAGTGAAGGAGGAAGGGTTGGAAGGTAAAGATTCAGGCTGAAACTTGGACTCTGGGTCTGTCTGCAGTCCAGACACTGTCTCCAGTGCCTCCTCTGTCCCCTGTCCTTCCTCTTGCTTTGCCTCCTCTTCTTGTTCCTCCTGTTGCTCTTCTTGTTCCTGCCCTTCCTCCTGCTTGTGCTCTTGCCCTTGTTCCTGCTTGTGCTCCTGCCCTTGCTCCTGCTTGCGATCAGACACTTGCTCTTGACCTCCCAGGGACAAGGAGGACTGTAGCAGCTCCTCCACATTGTTGCTAAGCCGCTCGGGCCAGGGCTGGAAGGCCTGTCGCTCTGTGGCTATAGCAGTGTTTGGGAGAAACCAAGAGAAGGGAAAGGGACAGTCAGGCTCATAGCCCTTGAGTATCTTTGTTCACAGAGGGACACACACATAAACACACAGGCAAAGGAAAGCAGACCAAATCACACTTATGCTCACAGTCAAGTATGAAAAACACAGAAAAGAATGAGTATTAAAATGAAAGAATAACACCATGGCAAAATTGTGGTTTTGGTGGTATGTGCCACTTTCCTACCTCCCTCACAAGTGACCCTGTTCCCTAACTCCCACCTCAAATGCCACCTTTTGTCCCTCTCACTTCAACTTTTTCTAAAGTAAAGATGTCAGGTTAAAAATCCCAGAGGACTTCCAAGCGCAAGACTATCTTTGGGACTTAGAAAAAAATGGATTTGGGGCAGAATTGTAAGAAATGGTGGGAGAGATTCTGGGATAGAAAAGCCCTAACTTGTATTCATACAAAACAGGCTTTCTCTTATGTAAATAGCTGTTTGCCTTCTCCTCTCCTTCCCGCTCTCAACTCCATTGCCACCAGGTCGGCTTATGGTGAGCCTATAGGACAGAATAGAACTGCCCCATAGGGTTTCCAAGGAGTGGCTTGTGGATTTGAACTGCTGACCTTTTGGTTAGCAGCAGTAGCTCTTAACCACTGCGTCAACATCTCAACAGCCTTCCCATTTCCCTACCACTGATGCCTTAAACCCTGACCTCTGGGACTTGTGGAAGGAGTTTCTGGTAGTCTGACAGGCGCCCCGGAGGATCTCACCTGTGACGTGTGATGAGATAGGGGAGGTCATCGTGGTGGGCGGGACTTCGGCTGGAGTGTCAATCTCCTTGAGAGTGTTAGGTGAGAGAATGGAGACAGGCTGGGAGCACCGGACTCTCTGCAGGGAGAGAAGGAAAGTGGGAATGTCTTTCCCAAAGGGTGCATTTCTCCTACTCCCTTTCCCAGCATTTCTCATGTCTCACAGTTCCTGGGCAGGGATGAAAGGACTTGATTCCTGCTAGAAGCCTCTAGACTTGAGAAAGGGACCCCCTGTAAGATAAAACTCATATTTTCTGGGCCACACATCTACCTTCACTCTTCTGCAATTGAATTAAATGAAATCATTAATCTCTTAGAAGAAATGGAAGGGCTGATCTCTTTCCCTCTTCTCATTTCTCATCCCTACTTTTCTGACAATGACAGGATTGTTTAGATAGTTTGAATGCCCAGGGTGAGACTGTATTTATACGTAAGTTGGGTAAATGATTGGCAAAATGGCAAGGAGGGAGGACCATAAGGATGGACTTCCTGGAGCTCTTCAATCCGCTCTTTGCTCTGGGACACCAGATCTAATCTTTGCCTTGGTCCTCACCTTGGCATAGTAGACATGGTTGGAGCAACGATACTGAGTAAACTGGCAGAAGGACTCAAACCAGGAGGCAAAAGGGAGGTCGGAGCAGACAGCACCTGAGAAAGGGCAGAGAAGAAGGTAAACACCCAAGGAAACCTTTCCCAAGAAGGAATTCTGACTCCTCAGTGCTTGGAGAGTGGAGGAAGATACAGGTTCAAGGTAAGGTGTCAGCCATACCCTTCCCTTGTCTCAAGTGAGCACAGGGCTTTTGCCCTGAGCTTAGGGTGAACTCTAGGTGCCTCCATTTCTCCACTAGTCCGGCCCTTACCATCAGGTACTAAGCCGTGGTTTTCATACTGGTCCAGCTGGATGAGTGTGGGGTTCCGGCAGCCGTGGGTTGCACGGAGACGGCAGGTAGTCTCTGCCTTCCAGGTTGGGGTCAGCAGTGAGAAGAAGCGATCATACTCAGTGGGAGAGAGAGGGCTGCCTGGAGTGGAGCTGGAAGTCGGATCCTGGGCTGGGGCAGGTGCTGGATTCAGGAGCAGCACTGCAGGGTAGGGGACAGACGAATGGATGGACTGAGCCCCAAAATCCATTCAGGGCAAAGGACAGACCCAGACTAGCAGCTGGGGCCCCGTGTGAAAAAGGAACTGGGGGGTCCTGGGCGGATGATCTCTGATGACCAGGGGTGAGGGGATTCTAGGCGCAGAGGCAAAGTGTCGACCCCAGGGGGAAGGATTTGGGGAGGATCTCAGAAGCTAGGGAGCAGACCCAACGTGACCACCAAGAGAAAGCGTTTCAGAAACCGTAGAAGAGGGGAGTATAGGGCTGAACGCGGGGAGAAAGAGACCGCCGGAGCACGCGGGAACCTCTGACCCTTCAGGAATGAGAGAAGGAACCCAGCAGCTAGCTTCCTCATGGCCCCAGAAGATCTGCCCGCGTTTCCCAGACCAAAGTAGCCTCCAACGGGCCCGAAGCTACCGAGAGAGTCGGCGGGCACGGGCTAGAGCGCGGGGAATAAGAAGATGCGACCCATACGTCACAAACGCAGGGGGCGGGGCCTCAGGAAACTGACGCGGGCCCTGTGGGACCCAACGGGACACTGGGGCGTGTGGGTGTTGATGGGCTACGACCCCACTCAAAATGATAATGACGGCAAAAGCCATCATTTGCTTAGTATTGTGAAGTAAAATTGTTTTGCTTTATGAAAACAAGAGTTCTTATCCACACCAAAGGTTATCTTATGTTAGAAACCTATGTACTTTATAATCATATTTATGTATATATGTGTACACATATATATGTAATCTTTAATGCCTACAGCTATGCTAGCTATGCCTTGGACTATAACTTTTAAAAGTAGCTTGTTTCATGTAATTGTATTTCGGTGATCAATTTACAACTTGAAACTCATTAAGATAACAATAAACCTGTCCTGTTTCCAAGACTACAGAGGTCTTCTTGTACTCATGGCTTATTTGTCTTGGGATTGTCTTTGTAAAGTTTCTATTTCAGCTTTGACGTTTGAGCACATCCTACTCTAAGATTTATGTATTCTGGCATAATCATCAACCAAAATTTTTTTGTTCAAAGTTCCTGGTGAAATTACATATTGTTGTGTACCTAGTTAATTCTGACTCAGTGCAACACTATAGGATAGTGTAAAACTGCCCCATAGGGTTTCTTAGGCTGTAATCTTTACCGGATCAGATTGCCAGGTCCTTTCTCTAGTGGAGTGGCTGGTGTGTTCGAACCGCCAAAGTTTTGGTTAGCAGCTGGGCACTTACCCACTGTATATAAGCACCATGAAAATGTTAATTGGAGCACTGATTTATTTGGTATGATGTGTTGTTGCATTTGCAAACTGATTGTTAAACCTACATAAAAACCAAAAACTAAACCCATTCTGTTGAGTCAATTTCAACTCACAGCAACCCTACAGGACTGAGTAGAACTGCCCCATAGGGTTTCCAAGAAGCTGGTGGTGGATCTGAACTGCTGACCTTTTGGCTAGCAGCTGAGTTCTTAACCACTGTGCACCAGGGCACTAGGGTTTTTTTAAAAACCTACATAGCAATCTGTTAATACTGTTCTATTTTTAAATCTTCAGTGGAGTAGGTCCTAAGTTGTTCTTTATGTGTATTACTTTAATTTCCACAGTAATCCCATGAGGTGGAAAGCATCATCATCCCTATTTTACAGATGATGACAATAGGGCTTAGAGAAGCCATTTGCCCAACAGGTGGTAAGGCTCAGATGTACGCATAGGCAGGGTTCTGGGGCAGGCAGAGACGGAATGTATGAAACAAGGTCAGGGCCTACCTGGGCAGGAACTAGAGAGAAGCCTCTATGTAATAAATGCACCAAAAGGGGAAAACAAGAGCAGGGTTCAGATCAATAGAGCTCAGTTATAAGGATGGCTCAGTGGTCTAAGCAAGTAGTTTCCAAGTGGGAGATGAGCAAGACAATCCACTGGGGTACGGGAAGAAAATATTTACCTATTTTGTGTTTAAAATAAGACATCGGGCTAATATTTAGTATAGTAGTACATGTATATAGCGCAAACATGTATTTATTGTACATTAAGTGAAAAATGTTTAATGGAGAAATAGCGCACAATTTAAAAAGGTTTGGAGACTCCTGATCTAAGGCACTACCCTTCAGCTTTCTTTCCCAAGCTGAGAAGTTGTGAGTTCTGGTGTAGAGGTACCACTTCTGGTTCCACGACTTGTCCTACTTCCTGTATGTCATCCTCCTGCCTCTTACCCACCCCAGAAGATACAAAAAGAATGCTTAGAACATTATAGTAAAATAGTGAATGTATATTAAACACAGCAGGCCAACATGTATAGCTTTTATTCACCTACCCAAGTTCCTTTACACTTGTTATCTGCATATCACCTGCCCTCCCCCATTCATAAAGCCAGGATGAATCCCCTTGGCATGGAGGAAGGGGTGTCCTTTCGAATAGGGCCACAACCCAGATGATCTGGGGAGCCTGCACCATGGAAAAAGCAGGAAGAGAATGGAGAAGAAAGTTTATCACACCATAGCCCCCTCATTGTGGGGGGAGGAAGCTAGAGGGCCGGTGGAATGCCCCCATGCTACTGCTCCAGTCCTTAAATACAAAGCAAGGAGAATAAAGAGGACCACCCCTCTGAAATACAGCACCAACCTCAGCATGGAGGCAAAAGGAGAGTGGGCAAGACCACTTTCCCCTGAAGGGGGAGGGCTGAATGAGAGCACATACCGTTAGTGGCAGGAGCACCCCTCCCTACCAGGGTATGGATGCAGCCTCAGCACCAGGAGTGGGGGGAGGGGTGGAGAAAGGATGACAATACTGTACCATCCACTTCTCTCTGAACCCCCTGACCCCAGCACAGGCATTCCTCTCCCCACTAGCCCAGGTCAAGGGACATGGAAGAAACTGTGTTGGAATCCAAGGCCTTATCTATTTCTTCTTCCGTTCTTGGGAGCAGCGTGGGCAAAACCTAGAGAGGAACATGGAAGAGAAGGGAAGGGAGAACGTGAGTGAAAAATAAATACTCTCCACCACTCAGCTTAGGGGCAGTCCAGTTCCTACCACAAATCTCTCACTCACCATTTCCCTCGAGGCTTGGTTGTCAGCCCCACGCACGCAAAGTGGAACCACTCGATGGAACACTGGAAAAGTTAGAGATAGAAGAAGTGTAAGTCAAGGGGCCAGGGAAGGGCAGAGGACGCAAAGGAGGCCCTCACACAGATTCCTCAGGAGTGTGCCTTTATTCTCTCCCTTTGGAGAATTCCTGCAGGTCCCAAGGCCAACCAGCACCAACCACCTGCTTCCTATCATGAAGTCCCACTGTTCAACCATGTTCTTTCTCCGTCTTGTGCCCATACCCTTACATCCCCTCCAGAGCCCTCCTTCCTGAGACAAACTGGTTCTCACATCAGGGTTGTCACAGCCAATCATTTCTCCATAGGAAACCTGGTGACAAAGGCAGTAGGTGGGTTCATTGGGATCCACAGGCATATCCAACACATCAGAGGGGTGGACACTGCCAAAGGTCACTGAGGGCATCCCATACTCAGGACTTCTGCAGGCCAAGAGGAAGAGAAAGTGTCATCTGCAGGAAGGAGAGATATAACCTGAGACTCTCAGAGGTGGTAGGAGATCCTGGCGGACAAGTAATTGTGGTTTCTCCTCTCTATCCAGCAGGTACCAAACTAGTAAGTGAGGAGAAGAGTTACTGACAAAAAGACAGAGGAAAGTGGCCAGGAGCAGTGCGAGTGGGAGTGGGGGTAGATGGGAGAGAAAAGTACGTCATTTGGCGAAGTGCTTCCTGATGCACTCACGTGCGCACAAGCTTTAATTTCTTCTGGGCAGCCTTGGGGGCTTCTTCATCTGAGTTTTTCCCTTTGGAGCGAGCACGGGCAGCTTTTTTCTCCTTTTGAGTCCGACCTTCTAGGGAAGGGGGGAAAGCCAGAAGGCAGGGAGATAGAAAGATGGGTTAAGTCCTCTTTCTTCTCCCATTTCCAACCTGGTGCCCCACCCTGATAGATGAAGAGCCTGCTGCTTCTCCCTCTGAATCCCTGCCCCACCTCTCACAGCCCCACCCTCCTCCTCCTCACTCTTTTTGCCTTTGCTGGAGGAGCTGTCATAGTCACTTGACTCAATCTGTTTCTCCTTCAGATCAGCCTCAAAACGCGCCAGGTCTGTGTCTAGCCGCCGTATGTGTTTGTCCACCTGGGTGAGAAGGAAGGAGAAGCAACAGGTACAAGGCCGGATCCAATAAAGAAAATAGGCTAAGATAGATGCTATGGATCTACCAGACCCAAAACAGACCCCAACACAGCTGAAGGAGAGGTCTAGGACCCTGAGGATTAGATGGGAGGTAGGTGGGGAGCCATGAACAGGGCCATACCATCTCATAGGTCTGCATGGCAAGCTGCACCTTGTCATCACCAAATTCCTTGCACTTGCCATAGGCTTCCTGGATCTGTTTCAGAAGGGCCAATTTTTCCTCGGAGCTCAGGCTGCGGGCGCTACTCATATACTCAGTGGCCAACTTGTCAATTTCAGCCTTCAGGTCTACAACAGAGACAGAGGCCTGGTCACAATGGCCCCTGAGTGGCTAGGTGAAACATACTTCTTCCTCTTGTTCCTCAGGCCTTTTCCATTCACCATCATAACCTTCAAACTAAAATGTATCAAACGTTCATAGGTTCATAGGTGTAGTGCCTGCCACGTACTCAAGTAATGCAACATACTGACATTTGTTTTAAAGGTGCCTTCAAGGTGCTGAAAACACTGCTATCATAGTTGGAACTTAAATGATTAAAACACAACGAGGGATTCTTTGCACACTGCACTAATATGTAGATTATTTCTGTTTATGTCTGAAGATGCTCCTTTGCAGGGCTTCCTGTTGCTTGAACCTTGAATTCTGTCTCAAAAGCAGCCTGACTTCTCTTCTCCAAAACATTCCACAGCAGCTTTGAATGCTGCAAACCAGGCTGGGTTATCTGCTGCCGCTGGCTTCCAGGTCTCTACATCTATAGCTCATCATTTAAAATTAGACCCTAGTTCACCCATATAGCAGTTTTGCCTACCTTATCTTCCACCCTAGTTTGCTTATCATTTGCAACTTACACTCCATCACCTTTTTTTTCTGTTTATTCGTCTGAAATATTGCTGCAAACATTTCAGTACTGGAAGACTGGTGATATCTCAGAACTCTGAGACTGTAGATGTGTACTGTCTAATATTTGGTAGGGCTCATAAACAATGCTCACGAAAGTAGACAAAAGTCTGGCTGCAGCACAGTGCAGCAACAGATTAACAGGGAGAATCTGCAGACACATGATACTCATGCCCCACTTCATTCCAGGCCTTTGGAGGAAGATGAGAAAGCATATAGTTCCATAATCTCCAACTGGTGTTTCTGTGCACAAACTCAAGAGTTGGCATTATTTTGCAAAGAAAGCAAGCTGGTCCTCAGCATTTGGCAGGCAAGTTCTCAGAGGTCTACATCCAGAATTTTACATGATGTTCACCTTTTCCCGGGTAAACTTGCCTACAGTAACATAAAAGTCACCAGTTTCAGGTATCCTAACACGAGCTTGTTACATCCTTGCGCATGACTACATAAGGATGTAAGGTTAAGACCTATATATCCTTCAGTCAGTATGGGGAATAGCTCCAACAGGTATCTTTGACCCTGAATAGACCAACTGAATCATCACAGTGTAGCCTCAGGCTACAAGAAAAAGCCTCATGCAGCCAAACCTGCTCAACAATTTCTAGAGTCCAAGAGAATACAGTGTGGAGATCCTGATATGAATTGCTGCTTTCCTTTCTTTCTTCCTTTCTTTTTAGAATTTGTCATACAGCATAATTCCTGTCTATCAACATGAGTTGCAGACTAAAGCCATACGTGAATCTTGTGATATTATTAATATTGTAATACTAACAATGCAGTAAAGTAGAAAATTCTAGTCTTCCTATAAATGTACTGAATATAGACAGCAGAAATGATTCTAGAGTTGACTTAGGTTTTTTGAATTCTTCTTGAGAAAGGTATAAAGAACACAGTATCTGGTTCTTGAGGCATTGTCTCAATACTCCATTTGTTATAAAAAAGCTGATATAGAAATGAGGATCACCATTACCCCCATTTAAGAATTGCAAGGGAGTAAAAAAGAGAGAGAGAGAAGTCACAGTTCTCCAGATCATACCAGATGATACACAAAACCAAGCAGGAAACCAAATGATCATGCACATTCATTATCACTTACCCTCTGTTCTTTGGTCTAGGTCCCTCATGAGCTGAAAGTTTCTCTGCAACTCAAAGGGGAGGTTTTCAATACCTAAGGACAATAGGAGAAACTAAGAATTACTGGATTTCACAGGTCTTAGAGCTCTTTTTAAAGGGTAGTTTCAAAACAGGATCCAAACGTTCTCAGTTCTCCCTCCTTTGAATCTTTAGATTGATCTGTGATATCATTCATCCTTCCTTTCTCACAGAAAGTCCTGTCCATCTCTCTCTCCACAACTAACCTCTTCATCTCTGCACAGCTATTCCATCCTTACTTTACAGATCAGCCCTTCCCTTTCTTTTATTTCCAGTCTCTGCCTCCAAACTCCTCGCCCTCAACTTCGAAATACCTGCCTGGTATCTGCTACTACTCATCATACACAATCTACTCTCCATAATTAGCATGTTATTTAAAAAAATGCAAATCTGATCAGGTCACTTTCCTGCTTATAATCCTCTAATAACTTCTTTCTGTTCTTGGATGCTGTACACTTTCTGGCCCTTGCTTACCTCACATTTCCTTAACTCTTGCCAGCCCCACTGTGCATTCTCTCTGCTCTAACTTGCCAGTGCTCCTCCTGCCACTTGCCTTTTGACATGCTGTTCTCTCTGCCTGGAATGTACTGCCTGGTCTTCCTCACCCCATCCTCACCATACCTCTGACCTTACTGAACTCCTGTTTCTCTTTCAAAGTTCAGCTCAAACATGACTTCCCCAGACTCTGACAAGTGCCCTGGACATATGCTGTCATGTATTCTATTGTCTATCCTTTCAAGTACTTATCTAACTGTTAATCAAATAATTAGCTGTGTAGTTAGTTACTAAATATCTGTCTTCCCAGACCTCCAACAGGGCTGGAACATGTCTGTCTTGTACTCTGTTATTTCCCCCAGGATTTAGGATTACGACTTGGGTACAGAAAATACTCAATAAATACTTGAATAAACGCATGAATACTTTAGTCTTCCCCATGCAAGGACAATATCTTCCCGTGATTCCACCTCAAACTTTTTAAATGCTTCCACTTCTTTAACCTACAACCTCAGGTCTGCCACCACCAGTTTACTGATGCTACTTTAAGTCAACAATGACTTATCAAATGGTCTTTTATTAGTCCTATCCTAAAAAAATACCTCTGCAGAAGTTGACACCGTCTTCTCTCCTTCGAGTAACTTTCTTCCTCTTAGGATTCCAAATCTTGTCATATACCTTCCGGTAATTCCAACATTGACGTCTCCTTAGCCTGTCCCTTAAATGGTAACGTTTTCTTGAGATTACACTTTAATCCTCTGATTTTCTCACTCTACTTGTTTCCCCTGAATTATCTCATTCACTCTCATAGATACAATATATTATCTACCTCACTTCCCAAACAAGAACTCTAGAAGTTACCTTAGATTCTTCCCTTACCCTCAACCACTCAGACATCCCATCAATTCAGTTATATTAAATTCTAGATACTCTGTCACTCCCTGAGATCAGGTTCTCATCTCTGGCCTAGACTGTTATCACTAACTGACCTCCCTGTTACCAATGTGATCACCCTTCAATTTACGGTATCAGTTATTTTACTTTATAAAGATCATACCCTACTTTAAAAATCTGTTGGTTCCCCACTAATTAAAATGCAAACTTCTCAGGCAGCTAACAGACACGAGGAAATGCTGGTGATCATTAGCCATTAGAGAAATGCAAATCAAAACTACACTGAGATACTATCTCACCCTGACAATACTGGCACTAATCAAAAAAACCCACAAAATAACAAATGTTGGCGAGGTTGTGGGGAGATTGGAACTGTGATGCACTGCTGGTGGGAATGCAAAATGGTATAATAACTTTGGAAAACAATATGGTGCTTTCTTAAAAAGCCAGAAATAGAAATACCCTACGATTCAGCAATCCCACTCCTTGGGATATACCCTAGAGAAATAAGAGCTGTCACACAAATAGATATATGCACATCCATGTTCACTGCAGCACTGTTCACAAAAGCAAAAAGATGGAAACAACCTAGGTGCCCATCAACAGACGAATGGATAAACAAATTATGGTAAATTCACACAATGGAATACTACACAACAGCAAAGAACAATGATGAATCCGAGAAACGTCTCACAACATGGATGAATCCGAGAAACATCTCACAACATGGATGAATCTGGAAGGCATTATGCTGAGTGAAATTAGTCAGTCACAAAAGGACAAATATTGTATGACACCACTATTATAAGAAATCAAGGAAAGGTTTAAACACAGAAGAAACATTCTTTGATGGTTACAAGGGTGGGGAAGGAGGGAGACGGGAATTCACTAACTAGATAATAGACAAGAATTATCTTAGGTGAAGGGAAGGGAAACACACAATACAGGGGAGGTCAGCACAACTGGACTAAACCAAAAGCTAAGAAGTTTCCTGAACACAACCAAACACTTCAAGGGACAGAGTAGCAGGGGCGGGGGTCTAGAGACCATGGTTTTGGGGGACACCTAGGTCAACTGGCATAACAAAGTTTATTAAGAAACTGTTCTGCATCCCACTTTGGTGACTGGCATCCGAGGTCTTAAAAGCTTGCGAGCAGCTATCTCAGATACATCAATTAGTCTCAACCCACCTAGAGCAAAGGAGACTGAAGAACACCAAAGACACAAGGAAAATATAAGCCCAAGAGACAAAAGGGCCACATAAACCATAGACTCCATCAGCCTGAGACCAGAAGAACTAGATGGTGCCCGAATACCACCAATGACTGCCCTAACAGGGAACACAAAAGAGAGTCCCTGACGGAGCAGGAGAGAAGTGTGGCGCAGAACTCAAATTCACATAAGAAGACCAGACTTAATGGTCTGATTGAGACTAGAGGAACCCCTGAAGACATGGCCCCCGGACTTTCTGTTAACCCAGAACTGAAGCCATTCCTGAAGCCAGCTCTTCAGACAGATTAGACTGGACTATAAAACAAAAAATGATACTCATGAAGAGTGTGCTTCTTAGTTCAAGTAGATACATGAGACTAAATGGGCAGGTGCTGGCCAGGGGCAGGATGAGAATGCAGAAAGTGATAAGAGCTGGTTGAATGGGCACAGGAAATGAGGGGTGGAAAGCGGGAGTGTGCTGTCACATTATAGGGATTACAACTAGGGTCACATAACAATACGTGTGTAAGTTTTTGTATGAGAAATTAACTTGAGCTGTAAACTTTCACCTCAAGCACACACACACAAAAAATCTGTTGGTTCCTCGTTATTTAAAATGCAAACTTCTCAGGAGGCTAACAGACACATGAGGAAATGCTGGCGATTATTAGCCCTTAGAGAAATGCAAATCAAAACTACACTGAGATACCATCTCACCCTGACAATACTGGCACTGATCCAAAAAAAACCCCACAAAGTAACAAATGTTGGAGAGGGTGTGGGGAGATTGGAACTGTTACCCACTGCTGGTGGGAATGCAAAATGGTACAATCACTTTGGAAAACGATATGGTGCTTCCTTAAAAAGCTAGAAATAGAAATACCACACGATCCAGCAATCCCACTCCTAGAAAGAGACCCTGCAGAAATAACAGCCATCACATGAATAGACATATGCACACCCATGGTCATTCAGCATTATTCACAACAGCAAAAAGATGGAAACAATCTAAATGCCCATCAACGTATGAAAGAATAAATTATGGTACATACATACAATGGAATACGATGTAACAATGAACAACCACAATGAATCTGTGAAACATCTCACAACATGGATGAATCTGGAGAGTATTATGCTGAGTGAAATAAGTCAGTCACAAAAGGACAAATATTGTATGAGACCACTATTACAAGAACTCAAGAAAAGGTGTACACACAGAAAAAAAGCATTCTTTGATGATTACAAGGGTAGGGAGGGCAAGGGAGGGGAAGTCACTAACTAGATAGTAGATGTTATAGATTGAATTGTGTCCCCCCAAAATGTGCGTCAACTTGGCTAGGCCATGATTCCCAGTATTGTGTGACTGTCCACCATTTTGTCATCTGATGTGATTTTCCTATGTGTTGGAAGTCCTACCTCTATGATATTAACGAGGCAGGATTAGAAGCAGTTATTTAATGAGGCAGGACTCAATCTACAAGATTAGGTTGTGTCTTAAACCAATCTCTTTTGAGATATAAAAGAGAGAAACAAGCAGAGAGACATGGGGACTCATACCACCAAGAAACAAGAGCCAGGAGAACAGGGCATCCTTCGGACCTGGGGTCTTTGTGCTGAGAAGCTCCTCGACTGGGGAAGATTGATGACAAGGACCTTTCCCCAGAATCGACAGAGAGAGAAAGCCTTCCTCTGGAGCTGGCACCCTGAATTCAGACTTCTAGCATCCTAGATTGTGAGAGAATAACTTTCTCTTTGTTAAAACTATCCATTTGTGGTATTTATGCTATAGCAGCACTCGATAACTAAAAAAGTAGACAAGTGTCAACTTCAGTGAAGGGAAGGACAATGTACAGTATAGGGAAAGTTAGCACAACTGGACCAAAGCAAAAGCATAGAAGTTTCCTAGACACATCCAAAAACACTTTGAGGGACTAAGTAGCTGGGGCCTGGGGACCATAGTCTTGGGAGACATCTAGGTCAACTGGCACAACATAGCTCATAAAGAAAATGTTCTACATCCCACTTTGGTAAGTAGTGTCTAGGGTCTTAAAAGCTTGCAAGCAGCCATCTAAGATACATCTATTGGTCCCATCTTGTCTGCAGCAAATAAGAATAAAGAAAACCAACTACACAAAGAAAATACTAGCCCAAAGGACTAAAGGACCACATGAACCAGAGACTCCACCAGCCTGAGACAAGAAGAACTATATGGTGTCTGGCTACTACCAATGACAGGGATCACAACAGACAGTCCCAGACAGAGTGGGAGAAAAACGTAGAACAGAATTCAAGTTCATGAAAAAAGACCAGACTTACTGGTCTGACAAAGACTGGAGGAACCCCCAAAACTATGGCCCTGGACACTCTGCTAACCCACAACTGAAACCATTCCTGAAGCGCACTTTTCAAAGATTAGACAGGCCTATAAAACAAAAAATAACACACATGAAGAACATGCTTCTTAGTACAACCAAATATACGAGACCAAATGGGCAACTCCTGTCCAAAAGCAAGATGAGAAGGCAGAAAGTGACAGGAAATGGACGAAAGGACACAGGGAACCCGGGGTGTAAAAGGGGGAGCGTGTTGTCACATTGTGGGGATTGCAACCAATGTCACAAAATAATATGTGTATAAATTTTTGAATGAAAAATTAACTTGAGCTGTAAACTTTCACCTAAAGCACAATTAAAAAATAAAAAGCAAACTTCTTAGCTTGGCTTAAAAAATTGTGCACAGTCTGGCCCTAGCCTCTTTCTCCAGTCTCATTTCCCAATCTTCCATCTTAAAGTCCTATATATCAAACATGCTGACCTCACTTTTCCCTGATCTTACCACAAACCTGTCACCATACCTTTGCTGATGCTTTCCCCCAACCTGGAATTCCTTTTCCCTTTTCATTCTGGCAAATAAACGCTCAAACTTCAAGACCTTACTCAAACACCACCTCCTCTATAAAGCTTTTCCTACCTCCCCAGACAATTATCTTTCTCCGGCGTTACCAACTATCCTTTTAATATATTGCTATTATTTCTTTTGTCACACCGTTTTACAATCATTTATTTGCAGAATCTGTTTCCTACTAGACTGTGAGCTTTTTGAGGGCAGGGGCTGTGTCTTATTCATTTCTGTGTATCTCCAGGGACTGCCATTATGTCTGACTCATCGCAGTATCTCAATAAATATTTACTGACTCCCGTGCGCACACGGTGATAGGCTTTGTGAAGGGGTGAGTTATACAAATGGCATAAACGTAACATCAGATTTCCAGCTTACTGAATTGGATTTTTGCTCCAGGAAGAGAGGTGTTCCAGTTCAGAATCTGACAGGGGTCACTCATCACCCCCCATCCCTATGAAGAGCTGCTTCTTAGAAACTGAGCGGAGCCGCGAGCAGGTCTTTGCCGCTGCTCCAAACGGCAGCAGGTGATACAGTGAAAAGACCAGTTTTGAACGACTTTAAGGTAAAGCTATCTTGAGGCTGAAGACCCTGAAGAGTGGGGACAGCAAACATCTTCCCAGCTATATCAGCCTTCAAGACAGATCTTTCAGCCCCACTGCGCAGCCCCTCCCACGTCTACACCCAACAGCGAGGCCTCGACCCTGCTGCCCCGCCCCCTCTTTCTCCACATCCTCTAGTATTTTCTCCCACGGAACCCCTTCACAATTGTGACCATCTTATCGCCAGGACTGCCAGGCCATAGAGCCTCTCATCCCCAATCCCCCCACCACTCTATGGCCCCTGACCCCCTCCTCCAGCCTGCTCTTACTGTCCAGGTAATGTTCCAAATACATCCCCGCAGCCATCTTGAAGCAAAACAAAGCAACTTCCGATCCACCTCGGAAGTGACTGAAACGCGATCGGCCCTGAAGCAATCCTTGGGTTAGAACCCTTCCGCCCTTAAGAAGAGAACTTCCGCCCTTAAGAGAAGAACTTCCGGCCTTAGGAAGTTGTCCGCCGGGACGCATCCGCCCGATGTTGAACCTTTTTTCTTTGGCGCGGGTAGCCGCCACGGCCCGTTATGAGGCGGCTTTAGCCTGCTTCCGCCCTTACTTAGACCGCAGTATGCGACTGTGGCAAGCATGACGTCACTGGAGGTAGCCATTTTGAATTCTCTACGAAACTTTTTCCCTCCAAAACGGGAACGTATGGTGGTGGTTGAAATATTGCTCTCAAATACCCCTTTTCAGGACCTGGGGATCTAACGTTTCCTTTTACAGAATTTGAAATCTGCAGGACTTTCTCCAGGGCAGCTAAGTTTCCTAAGGAAGTTGGAGAAAAGTAGCTGGATTGCGAGAATTAACCCTCATTTCTCTTCACTCACATGAACCTCTCTCCAGGATTATTTTTTTAACATGAGAAAAGTCACTACTTATAAATTCAAAGTAGAGTTACACAGTAAAGCTGTAATTCTCCACCCCTTTTGTCAGGGGTCCTGCCCTTACAAATATATTTTCATGTTTAAAATAACAGTACTTCTGACCTTGCCCTCTTGCAACTCTGTTGAGGGAAATCTCATGTATTTTCTCTTCCTTCTTATTGAAGTGTTAATATCTGATATTAATCAGCATCGATTCTATATAGAATGGTTCGTGGAGCTCCTTAACCGGCTGGGCCAACAATCATTCTAGACAGCTATCGTGAAAACTTTTCATCAGAACAGAAAGGAATCAAGTGCATGACAGGGTACCACCATGCTAGGGAACAGAACTTAGTCCATAGTCTAATACTGGTGTTAGTAAGATAGTATTTTGGATATAGTTATCACCCCTAACTCACATTCTTGACAATAATTATGAATGATAACGCCGGTTTTTAATACGACAGATTTTCAGCCATATAACTTAAATTAGACCAAATATATGAAGGCGGGTAGGGCGAAACCCAGGTTTACTAATGTGTAGGTGACCTTATCCAACAATATAGAATACCCCTTACTCTAAGTGTGTCGTCCCCTCGGGTAGTTTAATCTGTGCCTGTTTCCTGCTTTATGAGAGTACCTACCTCATAAAGAGTGCTGCACTGATCAGTGTGTATGTGTACATGTACACTTAAAAAAGAGTAGACTCTGGTTCTAATACTGCTGCTAAAAATAGGGCTGTCAGGGCCTTTCAACAGTTGGTGAGAGTAGGGGGAGAAAGTAGTAAATATTCAGGAAGCTAACAAACATCAGTACATTTGGTTGTATGTTACATTCATTAGTGTCACACCACATACTGAAACACTATCTTAAGATACTTAGCCCTAAATTAAATGAAGAGGGCATTATTTGATTAACGACCTACACTCCACTAGGTAACAAGCACTGTTGGCCAGCAGTCTGACAGAGGATACCCACCAGTTCTCAGATGTGAGAGCTTTGTTACAACCTTTTCAGTGCTTAAAGGTTTTAAGTTCTCAGAAAAGAATCTTGGAGGTGATTTAGTCCAATTGCTTCATTTAACAGCTGAGGAAGAAGCAAGCTGGCCAACACTATGAGCTGGCTGATGGCAGAACCCAGAGCTGAAGTCCAGGCTTCCTGACCCATTTTCTCCTAAGAACTGCAACTGTCCTGCATAGTAATTCAGTTCTGCACCCATTTATTGGTGACGGTTCCCACCACTGGAAACCTCTAGTTTTAGGCGCCATGGGTAACGAATATATGCATGTACATATACTACCAACTGAAATTAGCATGGAATCCTTCAATTTCTTTGATAAGGAGCCTTATTATTATTTTTTTTTAAATAACTGAAACTTTGTTCTCACATATTTTGGCAATGTAGCCCCCATGACAACACTTTTATGTAGAAATCCCCATAAATTAGGATTTCAATTAAATATCAAACCTGTACCCTTTTATGGCTTGGGAATTAGATACATGGGGCTCCTTTACACAAGCATTCGTTCTCAAACACACTTTGGCGTAAATCCTTAGTACTGTCCTTGAACACTTCCCAAACAGCTTTACCCCATGTTCGCTCACATCAGTAGCTCCACTGCCTCTGATCCTTTTACACGAATTTATTTCTATACAATGTTCTAAAAACACCCCTTGTTTTGTACATGTTTTTTTCTTTTTGTCATTTGTAAATTGCTTTATAACAACTGGTTTCCTGATTTTTTGGTTTTTCTTCATTTTCTCTGAAATCTGCCATGATTTAAAAAAAAAAAAAAAAAAACAAAAGGAAATAATGCTATAGCCAGAGGGACAGGGTGGAAAAGAAAAACAAAGACAAAAAAATAAAAATCAAATATGAAAATTCTCAGAGATAATGCATTTATAAACACAGAAATGGTTACAACAAAGATGGCTGTGATGAGTGGGTATATATATATTTATATATAAATCCGTGTCCGGCAACTGACCGTGGCACTTAGGGAGTTAAGTCCAGTCCTTGTGTTTGCCCTGAACTCTCCCTTCTCTGCAACACCCCTGCTTTTGGGGTTTCATAGAGAACACAAAGCTCCCACAGCTCCTTGAGGTCTGGGATGGGGAGCCTGAGGGTACACGGCCTTGGTTGACAGAGAAGGGGGAGGCAGGCTCCAAGGAAAACCATAACCCACACTTCTAAGCCACCCTTGACCGCCTTGGGAATCTCTGGCCCCTTGGGGACCACATCTCAGCCCTTGCCCTCTTATAAATAAAGGGAGGTCTGATCCCCACCCAAACCTCCTTCCTCCAGTATTAGGTAGGAAGTGAAGTGAGACCATTTAGGGGAAGAAATGGCTCCCAAGGGTAGGGGCATGTGAGAAACCTCTGTTCTTCTGCAAGCAAGAACAGAACAGGAGGCTGGTTGGATTAGGGCTCCCTTCTCTCTGGTATCTGGGAGGGCCAGCCTCTAGCCTTCTATCAGCCCAAACTTTGAGGATGAGGAGGGTTAAGGAGAGGGTAAGTGCCTACAATGGACAAGTTTCTATGAGGTCATAGTAAATCCCTCCCTTGAGCACCAAACCCCAATTTTAAAAAGCTATGCTTGGGAGGGGAGGCTGCTGGATTATACTACCAGCTCAGTATTCCTTTGCCAGTCAGGAGGGCTGATGTTCCTTTTGAAGAGTCAGGAATAAAGATGGCATCTTGTGACAGAAGGCCATGCCTGAGGCCTAAGGAGTTGGAGCCAAGGCCTGTCAAGGAAGAACAGGACTTTTCCCACCAAGAGGAGTTGGAGAAAGAAGGGACCAGAACTTCTTTCCCCTCTTCCCAGTGGGTGGCAGCACAGGTCTCTAAGAGGTGGCCAGGTGCTCCACCTGGATGGTGCTGGTGGTGACAGTGAGGCAGATGTCCTTATGATGCTCCGCTGTCTTATAGGGGGTCAGGTCAAAGGAACACTGAGGTGGAGGGTTGGGATTACTGTCCCCACCACCTCCACCTTGGGGGGCTGCTCCAGGGGACTGGAAGTGTGGTGGCTGTGGCTGCTGCTGCTGCGATGCCTGGGAGGCCTGGGCCTGGGCTTGAGCTTGAGCCTGAGCTTGAGCCTGAGCTTGAGCTTGAGCCTGGGCCTGGGCCTGAGCCTGCGCCTGGGCCACTGCCGCTGCCGCTGCTGCCGCCTGCACTTGTTGCTGGAGATCAGGAGGGTTGTGTTTGCGCATATGTTTCATAAGGTATGTTTCCTGAAAGAGAAAATAAAAACAAGTTGAGGGATGAAAGAGAAGGAAAGAAGTGACTTGTAACTAGCATCCTGGGCTCTTACTATGTTTTAAATAGAGCATTATTTATACAGAGATGTTCTAAAGCCCTGGGTAAGTTCTCCCAAGTAGCCATTTTCAGTGTTCACTATTGGGTAGAATGTGCAGAGGGGCTTTTAGAAGTCCGCATGGGCATTCCATTGGCAGAGGAAAAAGCCGTCATTTTCTCAAAGATCTCTGAATGAAGTAACTTTACAACCTTTTTCTGGAGTCTAGTAGAAAACATCTGAAATCTTCCTCCCCAAAAAAATCTCACGTTGATTTATTTTGCTTTACACTTAAGAGAAACAGAAAATCTTCTTTTTTTTGTAAATCAATCTCTATGGACTTAGGGGATCAGGCATCCTCTAAATTCCTCAGATGTGGGTCTACTTAATTTCTGTTCTCTTTACTAATTCTGGTAAGTTGGAGCTAGGAAAGTGTGGTATTCACTGCAATAGATATGGCCTTTACCCAGAACATTGAGGTAAAGTGGACTGAAGTCTAACAAGGCTGTAGGGAAGGAAAGAGAAGAAACTGAGCACTCACCGATGTATATGCCCGACTACAGATAGTGCAGGTGTACACCTTGGCATGCTTCACTGTGTGTGTAGAGAGGTGCACCTCTAGTGAAGCTGCGTCTGTGTACGCCCGATGACAGTTGTGGCACTTGTAGGGTTTATCTTTGTTGTGCTGCCGCCTGTGGGACTGAGAAAATTGGAAGAAAATAAGATAAGTGCATTGTACTTTTCCTTCCAGCCTCCCTCACTTTTATGGAAAGGTCTGAGCTGGGTGTCAGGCCTCCTAGGTTCTCTTTCCATCTGAAACTAGTAGAAATTGCTTCAAATGGAACTTCAGGAGCTAGAGGCTAAGGGAGGAAGTATACCTCATGCAGCACATACCAAGACTCTGAAGGTTACAATGATGGCCTACGCCTGGTCCCACAGTCCAATGGTTCTCAAAGTGAGGTATGGGGATCTCTAGAGAACCCCAAGGCCTTTTCAGGGGGCCAACAAGGTCTAAATTATTTTCAAAATAATAGTAAGACAGTGTTTTCCCTTTTAACACATTTCAGAGATTACATGATATGTAATATTGCAATAGACTGAATATAGTAGATTTAAAAATCTAGCCATCTTCTATTAAGCCAGACATTAATAGTTTTATTATTATTTTAAAATGAATGAATAAATATTTTTCAAGCTTCTCAGTTTCAGTCTCTCTGTGGAAAGATATTACCTACATGAACAAAAGCTCTTTGGGTTCCTCAGTAATTTGTAAGAGTATAAAGGAGTCCTGAGAAAGTTTCAGATGTGCAGTACTAGTCAAATGGCACTCTGATCCCAAGCCTCAGACTCAAGGTTGTGTATGAAGGGTGGAGTATTTACCTGCAGATTGGAGAGCTGTGTGAAGGCTTTTTCACAGCCTGGATGTGCACATTTGTATGGTCTATCACCGGTATGGATTCTGCACAGGATGAAAAAAGAAGAAAGGGAAAGGAGTCAGCAGTGACACTCAGAGATGAGCTCCTTCACACACTTCCTCAAGGCCAATCCTTTCCTCCTAAGGGAGTACATCAGGTGGGTCTCCAGGAGGCACCAGCCTTAGATCCTCTCTGACATGGATCAGGCTGTAATGCCTGATTTCTGGTCACTACCTATACCACTTAGCTCAAGCTGGGCCTCCTTTTTGCTGGGGGGCAGGGGAACTGGTGGCTTAACACCAAAGTGACAGGCACCCCATGATTTGGCATAGAAGTCAAGTCCTACAGCAACTGTCCCTCATCAGTGTTCAAAGTCAAGGTAAACACAACGGTAAGGAAAAAGAAAATCACAACACTTCTTCCTTGATCCCCACCCTGCAGCCAGAAACCATCCTCTCAGCCTTGAGCATCACCAAGAGAAAGTTCTCGTGTCAAAGAAAAGCAGAGTAACAGTGTTATTAACACTCATGGAAACTATGAGGATTTTCCCAGTCCAGCCCCCACCAATGGCAGGAAATGCCTAGTTTGGTACCAATTTGACTTCTATCCCCAACACTACTGGGCCCTCCACTGAGATAAGGACTTGAGGGTGTCTCACATCTGCTCATCAGGGACTTCAGAACCATCTTGGTGATCAGGGGCTTTCCCAGACCTCTGAACTGAAATCTTGAAAACATCGTAGGACATATCTCCTCCTTGTGAGGAAAGCCTGACTCCTCTTCTCAAGCCAAGACATATGACCACATGAAAGTGGGATCATCACATCCACAAGAAGCCAGGTGAGAAGGCCTATGTATGGTGCAACTTGAGATACTGTCAAAGATCATCACTCTTCTAGTTGGCAGGTTCATTTCCTCCTAACCACTCCAGATTCATGGGACAAACAATGCGCATCCTGAAGAAGTATGAGCCTTTTCATTTTCTGTTTGCCGGTTTCCTGCGAATATTTAGTACATTTTCTCCCTCTACTCCTGGTATCCCTTGGAGGCTTGCTTGTTGGTTGTGGGTGTTACCAGGCTGGTATACAGCTAGTGTCTGACTGTATCTCCCATTCATAGTTGGTCCCCTAAGGGCTGGAGGCATGATCTTCTCCAATCAAATGCCTCTGCTTTGGCATCAAGGAGAAATTCTTGTGAGACATGTGCATGAGTGTTTTCAGAGAGGGAAATGAGGGAAAGAGTTGTCTCTGCTCCAGGTACATCTGCCTCCTATGTATCAGGGACTATTACAGTCATTTTATCTTCCCAGTGTAGCTCTCGCCCCACAAAGGCTCTCTCTTGGCATCCACTTGTGTCTCCATCGATGCTGCTTCATCTTCTTTCTCCCAGAGGCCAGTGATGTTCTCCTCCAGCCAGGTCTCTCCTCCAGCCAGTCTCTCCCCCGCCCCCCGCATGCGGGTTGCTGTATGTGTCCAGGGCGGGGTGGGAAGGGCATGCCAGCGGGGCGGGGGCAGTAGCCTGCCACTCTCCCTTACCGTGTGTGCTGCTGGAGGTGGGAGAGCTGGCGGAAGGCCTTCTGGCAGTAGGAACAGTTGTAAGGCTTGGCCCCCGAGTGGATACGGAGGTGCTGGGCCAGGTAGGAGGTGTTGGCGAAGGTCTTGGAGCAGTGCGGGCACTTGTGGGGCTTGATGGTCTCCGTATGCATCTTGGAGTGGATCCTGCCGGAGAGGAGAGGAAGGAAGGGGGGAGGAGGAAGCAGTTCGACACCACGGGCTCAGCTCTCTGCTGGGTGAAATGATGTTGCTTGACGGATGGAAGCACCCCCTCCTCCCTCCTCCCAAAGACTCTCCTGCCTGGATAGGCTAATGAAGAGGACACCCAGATCTAGGCTGTTGCTCATTTTTAGTCGGTGGCTAGAATGGCAGTGAGATGACGAATTGCTGCAACCCATGGCTCCTGGTAACCTTATTCAGTCTCATCAACCCTGGTTTTTTTTTCCCTAAGGTTATACACTCACCACAGATACCCTGCTTCCAAATAGTAATTTGAACAAAGACAAATACCAACTGTTCCCCATGGACCTGAAGTTGAACGCACACCTTGGCTCTGAACTGAAGCATATAGTAAAAGCAGGGCCTGCTCTGCAGAAGATTTCCAAACACAGACACAGAGAGAAACCACAACAATTGTTCCAGACTTTGGAAGTGGAGACCAGAATTTTCCAGGCCCCTCAAACTGCTAGGATATAGTTTATTTTTCAAGGTTAGTAATGGGAGAGAATTGAGGCTCCCTTCCAGAGGGCAAAGTTGAAAGAGAAAAGAGAAAAGAAGACATGTGGAGAGAGGAGTAGGCATTGGCAACATGGCCCTGGGGGGACAAGGAGGGCACAGCCAGGTAGTGGGGTAAAACTGAAAGCAGCCTTACCGGGTGTGCTGCTGAAGGTGGGAGAGCTGGCGGAAGGATTTCTCACAGAAGTTACAACTGTAGGGTTTAGCCCCTGAGTGTATTCGGATGTGCTGGGCCAGGTAGGAGCTGTTGGCGAAGGTCTTGGAACAATGTGGGCACTTGTGGGGCTTGGTCTCGGTGTGTGACTTGGAGTGGATCTGCATCTCCGACTTTGAGTAGAATGTCAGTGAGCACATCCGGCACCTGGCCAAGTGAGGGCAAGTGGTTAGAACCCTTCCAGCAAGGCAGCACTGCTGAACCCTCCCCTCCACTTCCAAAAGAAGCCAACCTATCTGATCTCTCTCCTACTCCAACTATATTGTGAGGCCCTTGAGAAAAGGATCTCTATTGTATTCATCTTTATAGCCTATACTTCTAACACAGTGTCCAGTACATTATAAATACTCAATAAATGTTTGCCGAATGACTGAACCCCTAAATATGCAAAAAACAAGAATTCAACCAGGTAAAACAGGAAAACCTTATTATGGGCTCTGGGCTGATGTAGATTTCACTGGTCCGAGAATATCCCCTAACTTTTATTATTATTTTTCTTCTGCCTATAACTTGATTTTAAACTTTTAAAGAACTCCTTTCTCATGTATAAAGTACATCCCTCAAGTATTCCTCAAGGCCCCAAGCTGGTCCTGGGGAACAATGGACGAGATTCCCTGGAAGGGCTTCTCTCCTGCCTCTAGATAATTTTCTTCTGTCAGATTTTCCCCAACTTCCTTTCTGGCAGTAATTCTTAGAGGGCCAGGGACTCGGGGTGTGTGGGGGGCGGGGGGGGGTGGATGTCACAATTCTTTGGAGGGGCTGTTCCAAACCACATATGTCTGGCCTCCACTCTGTATCTGGTATCTTCCATCCACCAGCCCTGCCTGCCTGCAACCTCCACCCCCTCCTTTGCAATCAAGTGAGAATCACTTTTGAGTGAGCCAAGGTTACTGCTAGGAGTGGGTTGTGTCCCTCAGGTATTTAGGAGAAAGGTTTGAGAAACACTATTTTCCATGATAAACCTTTCTTCTTTCCTAGCACATGGAGCCAATGCCAGCACTTTGGGTCGACAACAAGAGCATCTGAATGTACTTTCACTCATCACCCAAGTTGGTAAACTTTCTTCCTGCTCTGCCGCTGTCCAACAATGTCAAATAAGTAGGCCTCTGAGCAAGTTAAGCCACAACAATTCAGACTTTATCAGGTGAAAGCTATCCATATGTGAGTGGAACCTTGTCATTTTCCTAAACAACTCACCAGTGCACAACATGGGCTCGCAGAAAGGCAGCAGCCTGGAAACCAGGCAACTGGGGCAGGTCCCTCCTCTTTGGGTTCTCCCCAACTTATCTCTGTAAGAGGGGCTTGAGGAGGTATGGGGTGATGATTTTGACTTCTTTTTCTGATCTCATGAGAATTCTTAAGAGAATAACTGAGATCATGACTAAAACGCACACAGAGCTCCTCAGGAAAAAAAGATATCACTGTTAGTTGAGATATGGTCCCTATATTAATGTGTTTACTGAAATTCCAGTAAGTAATGCCGATTTCCATTTCTCTATTCACTTGATATGGTGAAGGAAATCTGACTGCCAGTTTACTAATTCTGACAGTTGTCTAGGATGCTCAATCATTGTATAGGAGGAGAGGAGATTCTGTTTATAGTTAGCATGGTCCCAAGGACACAGCCAATAGGGGTCTGGACACCTAGGTTCTACTCAGGGTTCAGTTACAGTCTTGTTATCAATCTAGACCTCAAACTTCTGGTCTGTAAAATGGAGAGAAACATCTGCCCCCTAAAGGGCTAGCAAACACCCAGGACTGTCAGGTAACGTAAGTGTTCTCTAATAATACACTTGTGTTAATGTCAACAGCATCAGTGCTGATGTGAAACCTCATGCTACTATATATTTCACTAGAAACTGGACACATTGTCACTTGGAGCACAACTGTAGTAATACTGCAAAATAATTTCACTTGGTTGTTAAAATTTTTCCAAGAGGTAGAAGACAACATTCGTTTGAACTCAAACAAAATCTCATCAGTGCGTGTGAGGTGTTTTTAAAGTGCAAACACACAAGTGCACCTTTAACATTAAAGTTAATTTTAAAAATAAAATAATCCCCTTCATCAAAGTTTCCAATTAGAGAAAGATCTGAGAAACTTAAATTCATTAATTATGGACTAGCCACGAAATGGGCAGTCTCAAGAGATACTAGGTACAGTCCTAATAATAATGATAAAAATAATTGCCATTTGTTGTTGCCTGCTCTTGCCAGACCCTTGTTAGGAACTTTACACTGTTTCTACCTCTCACAACAACGTGGCAACTATTATCTGTTTTACAGAAAGGCTCAGAAAGGTTAAGTAATATGCCAAAGGGCCATTATTTATCAATGCCATGATTCTAACCTAATTTAAGATTCCTGACACTGGAAGTATTCAGCAGAGGATGGACAAACACCTGCCAGGAAAGTCTAGAAGACTAAAGCTACAGAGAAGGGACTGGCTAGATGACCATCAAAGTGTTTCCAATTCTGAAATTCCATGAAGCCAAACAAAAAAGTTTTCTAATGTGAGATCTCGGATGGTTGCGAAGAAACTCAATTTAGGAGAAAGTTGTAGCACTAGCAGTCAGCAGGAGATAGAAAAGTCAGCACCTGGTATCACTTGGTACACAACTCCAGAGGGCACTGTTCACATTAAACACAAGAATGGTACCTTGGAGGCATGCAATGCAATGGCCTTGGTTACATTTACTTTGAATTATCATTCAATTTTTTTTTCCTAAGATGCTCAAAACAATTTCAAGTACTTTTATTTTTTCCTCAAAACATTTCCACAAGATACATGAGGGCTGTGATTGATCTTCCCATTTTATAGATGGCAACGAAGAGCTAGAGGGTATTAAGTTTACTTTCCCAGAGTAAAAGAACCCAATTTCCCCATACCCAGACAAATGCCACTGACCACAGGCATGGATGTGCTTTACTTATACATGAATGGAAATAGGGATTCTCTGTGACTAAAAAGATTCTTTTGGAACTTCAGTGTTCTGAATTTCTGAAGAAGTTCCATCTGTTCACCTAGAATATAATCTGTCCCCCTTAAATTTCAGAGTTCTCTTTAGTCACCTGGGTGTGGGGCCTTTCAAGGATTCCTAAAACATCGAGGGTAGAAAGAATCCTATCAGGGCTTCCTCCCAACTGTATTTTCACATTTCTTTCCACACACACAGTTTGGGAAGTCCAGAGAGAGGTTTAACGGAGGTCCAAAAGTTAAAAAATAAAACCCTGGCAGAGTCAGAGGACCCTGAACCACTGGAAGGGCTCCAGAAAATGTTAGAGAACCTTCCCACTTCTCCTACAACAAACTTTATATAGGTGACTCTCCACGTCACAGTGACCTCACTTGAAGCAAATACATAAAAATCCAGATTTCTACACAATAAATCAAAAAAGAATTTTCAGTTATGAAATAACACATAAAATAATCCCTTTACATGAATCAAACTTATCAAGTAGCTTTACAATATGATACGATGTAAACATTTTCCAGGAACGCTTTTATTGTATAAAGTATGTAAGGTGAAACCCAAAACAACCAAACCCGCTGCCACTGAGTCGATTCCGACTCATAGCGACCCTATAGGACAGAGTAGAACTGCCCCATAGGGCTTCCAAGGAGCAGCTGCTGGATTCGATCCGCCAACCTTTTGGTTACCAGCCGAGCTCTTAACCACTGCGCCATCATAAAGTGGGTATGCCTATAATAATAAAGCTGCAATGAACTTTCGGCTTATGAGCTGGAATCTTGCAGTGTTCAATACTTTCTGCATAGCAACGCTACACTCATTTTCATGTACAAAGAGGAATTTAAACAGTCTGTAGTCGTGGCTACCTTCCACTAGAACTGTACAATGTAAATAGAAATCAATGCTTATGATGACTATTTCTTATTTTTTTCTTTTAAAGTTCTCAACATTTCAAATCTTATCTGATATATACTCCCAACAAATGGGAGGCATAAACAGAATTCTCCCCATTTTACAGATGAGGAAGCTGAGGCCCAGAGAGGGGAAAAGGACTTGCCCAGGGTCACACAGCAAGTTCGTGGTGGAGCCGGGAACTGAATCCATGAGCCCAAGGCTCTGTCCATTTCCTGTGCCGCAGTTCCCTTCGCTCCTAAAATGGGAACAACATTGCCCATCTCGGTACACTAAGGACAGACCCAGTCTCCCAGCCATGCACATCTGCCCATCTGCATCAAAGCTGTGACAGCAGTTATCCCACTCTGTACACTGGGGGCAAACTCCCCAAACCCACTAGGGCCCTTGACAGGTCTCAAGGTGATTAAAAGATTTTCAACTTTCAAAGGGCAGGGAGTGTACTTATGTAATTACTTTCGTATAGTACCACATGCAAATAGACATATAATAATTTTTGGTAATGGACAACTTGGAGGAAGAAAGGATCAAAAGGACTTCCATGAATTAGAAAGTGAACAAACAGCCATTTTATCAACATGTATCCCAAAGGGAGTAGGGGGGAGGCATCCTATTCCTCCCACCTGTTTATGTAGACCCCTCCCATCATCCCAACCATGCAGGATCTGGCAGGCTCAGCGCTCAAATATGGCCCAAAAACCAGTAGATGGCACACAGGTTAAGGTTAGGTGTTTACCAGAAAGGTTTCTCAGAAAAATAGGAATGGAAAATGTAGAAAGCAAAAAAGAGCCGGACACAAACTCTCAAACCAAGTCTAAAGCCTTATTACAAGACAGAAACTCCACTCTGTCACTCAAAAATAAGTCAATGCTGACGACCCCCAAAACGGGGGTAAAAAAGGAAGGGTGAAATGGGTCTGCATCTTGGGGAAAGAGGCACCAGAAAGTGCTAGAAGCTCTGCCCTCCTATCCCATGACAGAACACCTGACATGCAAGTGGACCTGAGGTGGAAGGTGGTCAGAGTACGGAGCCTGATTTGGGGCAGGACGCAAAGGGGTAGGGGAAGCTGAGGCAGTGATCCTCACCCATCCTGCCCCCTGGCTCTGGCTCCTACCTGTAGGTCTTGCCGTCTTTCTGATGGTCATCATCATCCTCAGGGGAGAGGACATAAGGGTCATTCATCTCAGGAAGCCCTGATTCCAGCATCCGCTTCTTCTTTCGGCCTCGGGGGGCCTTAGGAGCCACACTGCCACCTCCACCACCACCTCCGCCTCCTTCCTCTGTTAGGGTTGATGCTACCTTCTTGGAGAGGTCAGGGACCACCTGCAGGGCTTGTGAGCCAGGGGGAAGAGCGGAGACAATCATGGGAGCCGAAATGGGGAAGGTCTGAGCTGATGAGGCTGTGGTCACAAGAGAGCCTGAGGGGGACGTGATTACCAAACCTGGACCTAGGATTGGGAGAAAAAGGAGATGGTGTTATGTTGCCCAGTCCTGATCCTGACCCTTATTTCATTTCACTTCCCCCAGACTATTGTCTAAGTAACCCCTCACCACCATCCCACAGCCCAAAGTATATAGGAAAGCCCAAACCCTGTAGAAAAATAATGGTCTCCTAGCCCTTGTCCCCACCCCCCGGTAACAGTGAGATTTACCCCTTGATTGACTCCCTTCTCTTCTCCACCTCTGAGAACAGGAGACTCCTTGATTCAGAGAAGGAAAGAATGTCACCTCCTCAAAGGCAGGGACCGCATCTTCTACTTCTTTGTATCCCCCACAATGCCTAGCACATTGCTAGGCACACAGTAGGCACTTAATAAAAATCTGATTGAGTAATCAAACACATATCCCACTCCCCATGTCCTTGGAGCCCTCCAGCCTGGGGTACTGATCACTGAAGATCAACACCTCAGATTGGAGAAGAGCAGAGTTGCTCACCAGGAGTCACCAGTCCTGCAGACGGCACAGGGACGACCGTGATATTCTGGGTAACGGACGCCTGGCTGTGTGGGGTCAGCTGGTCTGACTTGGATTCTGTGTCCATACTGATGCCTGAGGGCAGGGACACTGAGGCAGGCACTGTCAGCAAGGTGGGGTAGTGAGGTGGAGCCAGTCCACAGCCCTTCTCTGGCAACAGCTGATCTTTCATCTTATTGATGAACATTGTGTTCTCAATCTAAAAGAAAAGGAAGAGGGGGGAGCACCATCTTCACATTAGGACAGAGTCTGATTTTGTCTGTTCCCTAAGCATTTCTCATTGTTTGTTCTTCTCCTTAGAAATCAAGGAACTAGGAGTTAATTTCTTTGTGCTTCCAGAGAAGCCAAGACAGAAACACTATATAATTCTCAGAGATGTGGGACTCATGAAGCACAATGTGGTTTATCTTGCTTCAGTCTCCACAGTAATAGAACCTACTACTCAGAGTTGGAAAAATACACAATGGGGGAGGAGCAACAAAGTCAGCAAACACCACCTACCTGTCCCGAGACTGTGGGGATAGAAGGCCAGAAGTACGGGTTAGAATTGAAGTGAGATTCTTCCATTCTACCTGAAGGAAGAAACAGAGACCATAAAACACTCAGGAAGAAATCTGAAAAAGCTTAGCAATGGAGAAAAGATAGGTGAGGGGTTCTTGGTCTCTTCTCTGGCACCTGACCACAAGGCTAGGAATTAGCAGTCGAGATCTTAGGATCTAGCATATCATTAGTACCCTTAATCAAAGCCGCTCAGCACTACATCCTTCTCCACCCAGCAGATGCGGTACTAGTTAATGTTTGTGAAAGAACTTACACATATCTCATGTACCCACAGAATGTTTCCCATGCCCCAGAGAAGCAGAATCAGTATTACTTTCCTTTGCTGACAGAGAGAAAATGAGACCATGAGAGGGGAAGGGATGTGCCAAGGTCACACAAAGCAAAATCACTGACTTATCACTGTTCTGCTTTTCCTTAACCCCTCAAATTCGTCTTCCTTGAAATAAAAATTTCAAATGCTCCAAGCAACATGTCTGTAGTTCTACACAGCTTGACAAAGTTCTAGGCCAGAGCACAAAAGCCTTAAGGGAATTAAAGAACAAAGTTGGTAGGAATCAGAATCAAGGTATTTTTTGAGAACCAGCTGGTATCTGGTGAGTGTGCCCCACCAATCCCACCAAGGTCTAAGAACATCCATGGTGCTGTGTTGGGTCCCACACAAGCAAGGTGAGCAGTGAGAACCTAGGAGTTACCAGTTTAGAAAAGGATTCTGGCACCAGCAGTGGCAGCAGCAGCATCCCAGACGTCCACCTAAAGGGATTCAGAATAGGGACAACTGTGTATTCTCAAACGCTATGCTTCCAAGAACTCAATTTTTTTTTCTGTATGTGGATAATTAAGCTTTAAACTTTGGGAGATAACATACAAGAAAAGTAAACAATCGGGATCATACTGCAAGTCACAGATGGGTACAGAATCCAGGTATCCCACCACATAGTTTTCACACTCTGATCACTTCCCCTGTCAAGTCTTAATTGGCAGCATGCTGGTCAACAGCAGCTTCCCAAAATCCTGGACCAAGAAAGATCTAGCCTAGCAGGAGGCAGGTGAGGGGAGTATGATATTGGTGGAATAGAAAGGAGGAACAGCAAGAAATAAACATTATCACCATGCTGCTACTCTGAGCCAAGAGCAATGAGGTACAGGTGACTTATGGCCACATTAGACCCATAGAGGATGTGCTGGGAGCAGATAGAGGGGAGACTAGACACAGAAACTGGATTTAAAGCAATGATTAAGGGAATTGGGAAAGATCTTCAACAAAAGAGTTGAAGCAAAAAGGATATTAGTTTAAACGTAACCCTGTTTCTTATATTTTTTCCAGGAATCATATCACATTTTTTGCTCTATCAAATAGTACCCTTACTTCTTATAAAACCTATAAAGGGAGGCAGAAGTGAATCTCAGTCCACTTTTTCTTAAAAGGTAGCAAAGTAGAAGAGAAAAATGCACCGAATCTATGACTAAAACAGCTCAAAAATAAGTCTCAATATTAAATGACTGAGGATCAACCACAGGCAAATCCTGTTTCCTGAGTTATAAAATACAGTAAAACCAGACAGTATCCGACACAGGTGTTAACCTAACCCTTCCTGCACTACCTTTATAAAGGGGGCTCAGGTCCTCAGTGGACAACAGAATCAAAAAACAATCAGATCACAGTTTACAGGGATCCAATCTCACCAAGCTCCTTGGGAGGCAGAGATCATATCCTCTACATGTGTATCTCCCCATAGTACCTGACATAGGACTGAGTACCCCATAAGCAATTACGCCCTTAATGAACTGACCAACAGTGGAATCTATACATACAGATATTGAAAACAATGCTAGGAAATCAGACCTTAACCTGTAATCCCCAACTGTCTAACCTTTTAGCTGAGAGCAGTGAAACAGAGAAGAGTGGTGATGGATGGTGAGAATAACGTAGAGAGTTAGGCTACAGACTAAAAGAAAAGCATGCCTAACATATAAACCCCCTGCCCCCAGCCAAGGAAGTAACTGCATATGGATACGAAATTTTAGGAGGGAAGAACTGAGAGCCTGAAAATAAAAATGCCCCCAGACAGGATTCCTGTGAACAGGACCTCTCCCCACTAAAAATAAGATTTACATCCATTCACATCGTCCTACTGGTGAAGAAGCGTCTCTGAGGGAAATGTTCCCGTAAGCTCTTATAAAGGTGCACACAAAGTGATGTAGGGGACATATCATTACTGTCATCACTGTCATTAACACTTATTAAGGACTTATTCTGTACAAGGCACTGTTCTACACTTTACAGCTATTACATCATTTAATTCTTACACCAATTCTATGAGGTAGGTACTGCAATCCCCATTTTTTAGATGAGTCAAACCTGTGAAACAAACCTTAGCAGGGATCTGAACCTGGGCACCACAGAACAAGTTAGGGAAAGGGGTCCTACAAGGGACTAAAACCATACAACTCAAGTACACAACTCTGATGTTGGGGCATGATCCAGAAATTAAAATTTAGAATATTTCCAGGAACGGACTATATATTTTCCAGGTAGCTCTCAATAAATGTTTTCAGAATTGAAGACTTTAATAACAGTGAAACGGCAGATAGTTCTCATCATACTCTCTGTCCACATCCTGTGAAACCTGACTTGGCTGCCAGGATAACCAATTTTAGAATAAAACCTGTATTAAAAAACCAGACTGGAGAGGAGGTTAAATAAAAGGCCTCTCCACTTACCTCAAGGAGCCCTGGTGGTACAGTGGTTAAAGCGCTCAGCTGTTAACCAAAGGTCAGTGGTTTGAACCCCCAGCTGCTCCGCAGGAGAAAGAAGTGGCAAACTGCTTCCGTTAAGATTTACAGCCTTGGAAACCTTACGGGGCAGTTCTACTCTGTCCTATAGAGTTGCTATGAGTCAGAATCAACTTGACAGCAATGGGTTTTTTTTTTTTTTGGTTTGTTTCACTTACTTGGATACAGCCTATGGTTCTGATTTGGTTCTTTCTGTTGAGAATATACAGAGCGAAAACATATAGCAATTCAAGTTTCTACATGTACAATTCAGTGACATCTGATGTGGTTCTTAAGAGAACAAAGCTGAAGATCAGAACCACAGTGGGTCCTGGGACAAGATAATAAATGTGCCCTGTGGGCTTCTGATAAATATCTCAGCCCAATGTGGGGGTACATGGAGAATACTGCTAACCCAACTATAAGCAATGTTTGCCTGCAAAATGTCACCTCAGAAATGCTCAACCATTGTTTTATTGATAAGATGGATTTAAATCTCTGTACCCCTGGAATGAGATCAGTTGGAGAGCCAAGAATGAAGTCTGTTGCTGGAATACAATGCAAATGGTGCCCCTTGCGGCTGTGTAACAGGGTGTCCCTGGTGCCAGATCACACCAATATCTATTTACTGCCCATTTACCTCTTACCCTCTTATTCTCTACCTTTCATGGAGGAAATCTCATTAAACCACCCCAACATCCAAGCAGGCACATATCAACATTCTTACAACCTTAAGCCAGATCAAACCTGTTGCCACCGAGTTGATTCCAACTCACAGTGACCTTCCAGGACAGAGTAAAACTTACAATTCTAAGAAACCTACTAATACTATAGTGAAACCCCGTCTCTACACAGAAAGTGCCAGTTGTGGTGATTATGCCAAAATATTTTTTTTAAAAAAAGAATTGATTTACCCTAGACTGGGAAAAAAGAGAAAGGCTTTTATTATAACACCAAACAATAGGAAAGAAAGAAAAACTTGATAGAACGAACAATGCTGGCAGATTGAAAATCTGGATTCTAATTTCAACTTTATTACTGCACCAAGCCTCAACTGTTCTCTTAATAAGATGGAAAGATTACCTTTTCTTTAAGAGATTTAAGGAACTATATATTCTCTTCTCTAATCACAGAATAAATCTCGGAAGCACTGAGGAGGTGGAGGAAGAGGCAATATTAAGTAACATCCATGATACACATCGTAAGACTTGAACTCTTGGACCAGCACTTTGTCCATCTGACCACATCCTTCCACAGTGCTAGCAACCATCCAAGGGTAATGATGTCATTGCCTCCAGCATGTGGTTTTGGTAGGCATGGTGAAGACCACCACCTCTTTCCCAGTAGCTATCACTACTATTTATCTATTGTTGTTCTTGTGCAGCATGATTTTCATTTCTCAAAAAAATAACATTCTCTTAATACAATCAACCATTAGAAAATCTCAAAACACTTGCACCAACCAAATTTAGTAGCTAGAGAATGGACCTAAGAATCAAGACTTTTGGATTCTAATTCTAGGTCCTACATCAGTGGATGACTTGGATAGTTTCCACTAAGTTTCTATTTGGGCAGAGGATGGAAGGGAATGAAGCCCTTATAGAAAGTTTACAAGGCATACGGTGATGGGAGAGAGGTAGCACAAAAAGAAAAAATTTCTCAAACTGCTCTTGAAAGTAAGAGAGGTAAAGAGAAATACTTCCACTGTGATGAGAACTATTAGTGAAAATTACATAAAGACCACATAATTAACAAAGGCAACTACCCAGGTGTATCAGATCTATAGCCTCCAGCTTAATAACAATCATCAACATGAAGCAAAGAAGCATCAAGAAAAAGAGATACAAAGAATAATCTACTCAAATTCAACTACAGAAAGAACATGACCCATGGATCTTAGCCACTTTATTGGGAGAAACCAAAACCAAACCCACTGCCGTCAAGTTGATTCCGACTCATGGTGACCCCATGTGTTACATAGCACAGTAAAGCCTATGAAAGCCAGAACCTGTGTAAGGCAGAAATATGTCAGAGAGAGAAAACTCAAATATTTTCTACTAAAACGAGCAATAGAAAAGTGGTAAGACTGCACCCTTCCAGAGGCAGAAAACTTGCAAGACCCAGAAAAACAAGGCAGTCTCATCAAGTTCTGGCTCTCACAGGTTTCACTGTACTACTCCATAGACTTTTCTTAGCTGTAACCTTTACAGAAGCAGACTGCCAGGCCTTTCTTCCTTGGTGCCGCTGGGTGGGTTCGAATCACCAACTTTCGGGTTAGTAGTCGAGCACAAATGTTTGCACCACCCAGGGAGAGACCATTCCAAAATGTACAATTTCAGAAAGGTTGCAATATTAGCTAAAGACTTGAAATGAAGAAACAGAAAACCAATTTTTCTCTAAAGAAACAAAATCTCTTTTTTCTCAGGTTCTAACAAAATCCAGGAGCCCTGGTGGTACAGTGGTTATGACCTTGGCTGCTAACCTAAAGGTCAACAGTTTGAATCCACCAGCCACTCCTTGGAAACCCTATGGGGCAGTTTTACTCTATCCTACAGGGTTGCTATGAGTCGGAACCAACTTGATGGCAACAGGTTTTAAGGATATCCAAGACGGCCATCCAAAAGGATCTGGGACCTTCCCACTATCTGTGAACTCTTCCAAGTATTAAATAACTTAGAACAGGTTTATCCCAATTCTATTGGGAAGCACCATCATACCATGCCTAAACAGACCAACAGCACCACTACCATTACACAGCTGGCAATTTGGACCAGCAGCTTCTACCCTGCGTATTGCTGGGTTATTGTACCCAGTGGCAAGAAAAGCAGTGGTTCCTCTTGCCCTGCCAATTCCACTAAAAATGATGGATCTGGGGAAAGTAAAGCCAAAAAAAAAAAAAAGGCTGGAGAAAAGTGGATATGCACCTAATATTTATTCACCAATCGGGGTTCAGAAACTTGTGGGAATAAACTTTATAAATGAGCCTGGAATTGGTTCTTAAAAGATACCTCTAGGACTGTAAGTTGTGAATTCAAACTCTTTAGGTTCTATACACTGTCATTTTCAGGCTACCTAAAACTCTCACCATCCCCATCAAGCATCATATTCTGAATTCTTCCAGATCTACTTCTGGAGTCCATTACATACAGTTTTACCCACTTCACTTCAAACTATGCATAAAACAGTTTTTTTCCTGAAAACTTCAGCCTGTCACATCAAATTCACATAACCCTGTATCACAGATTCTCATCAGTCAATAGATCCACTTCAAACTCTCCACTAGAATATTAAAGACAGAAATCCCACTCTAAACTCAGCTCTACTTGTTTCAAATACAATTCCATAAGCTATGGCACAATGAGTATACTGGCAATCAGGGCCCATGTGTCCCCAAAACAGAACGTTTCCTTTGGACACAGTGCAACACTACCCAGTGATTTCACCTAAGCATTTCACATTTCATTCTACGTGAGTCCTGATGGGGAAGGAAGGTGATAGAGGTACAGCACCAACTTTTTACACAAGTACTTCCTGGTATCCTCAAGAGATAACAGGTGGGAGAAAGGCAAACACCACTACTATAAATCCTATTACTTGAAGAATTCTGCCACATTGTCAAAAACAAACCCATGTGACTATAACACCTCTTCCCCCCAAAGAAAAACCACTGACCCAACATTTCTTACCCTCTCTCTCTCTTCCTCCTGCCGTTTTATTCCTTCTCCTTTCCAGGGCTCCAGAACTTTCTGTAAACAAATTGTCTGGGTTACAGGGGCCAGTAAGGATGCAACCAAGAGAACCGTGGAGAACCTCAGGAAATCTTTTTGATTGTCAGCTGTCAGTCTGGAAGGCAGGCAGACCCCCAACCAACAATCCAAAGACAGATAGATGTAACAGACAAGTCTGGTGCCACCCCCTATGTGGATACAAGGGAAATAAATCCAATCCCAGAAACTAAGATGAACTCTTATCACCAGGGTATGGAATCCACTCCTGGGCTCAAACACTGGTTCCTCTTCAGTCCGGGGCCACAGGTAACCAGAGGTCAGAGAACATAAGAATTGGAAGAGGAGGAAGGTCCCTGCCCCTGAGGACTGGCTCAGAAGGCAAAGCTGAGGGTTGGGGGGTATGCACAAGCCCTTAGTTCAGGCACTGTGCCAGTTCAGGCCCAGCCACTTCCTCTGGCCTCCCCCCCACTTCTGCGAGGACTTCGCCCCCTGCCTACCCAAGGCCTTGGGCCAAAAAGTAGCTCCCTCAGCCTGCACAGTGGTCTATCTATTGGGGACCCCAGCTGTCCCCAAAAAACCTTCTCTCCCCAGAGACAGCCCCTGGGAACCTTCTCCTAATGTTGCCCCACACCCCTTCCTCAAAGTCCTTTCCTCGGGACGCCCCTCCTTTCCCTCCAGGGAGCTGAACTCTGCAACCCACCAGACAGACACCCGCCCCCTATACCCCCCCATTCCTCCCCATCGCCCGCTCCTCCACAACCACTTCCGGTTCCGGGACGGACACACATACAGTCACATCGTGGACCCCCCCCTTCTCCGCCCCCCCAAGGAAAATGGGAGGGGGAGGAGCAGGGAGCTTGGCGCGCGCCTACCGTAGCGGGTCGAGACTCACCCGGCGGCGACGGCTGCGGCAGCTCCAGAGCCAGAGTGCGGGAGGGGCGGCGTTTACTGGGAAAGGAGGGAGCCAAGTGGGGTAGGAGGACCAAGACGAGGCGAAGGGAGGAGGGAGAGCGCAAGGCGAGGCGCGAGTACGCACTTGAAGTGCGAGACAGATCCACACATTCACACGCACGGAAAGCGCGCGAGACACCCGCAGGGCGGGGGCGCGAGGCGCTGGGTGGCCCCCCTCCCTTCCTCCCTCCCCGTTCACTCACCCGGAAGTGGTGCTGCAGCTCGTGCTCCCGAGAACCCCAGTTCCTCCCGCCCCCCTCCTTCCCTCCCCCCTAAAGGCTTAGCGAAGAGCCGCTGCAGAGAGAAGGCGGGAGCCGGAAACGAAAAGTGGGGGAGAGAGGGAAATAGCAATGTCGTGGGGGGGGGGGCGATAATGGGAAGGGGGGGGTGCAAAGGCCGAGTCACTTCCGGCAGCGTCTAGAGCACGTCCGGTGCTGCTAGGGTTCCAGGATATTCAGGGCAAAAGTTACGACAGGTAGGGCGGAAGTGGCTTCTGCAGGGACGCAGTAGAACCCTCTGCGGATGTGACGGCAGAACGGAAGTGGAGACGGGTTCTGGTAAGGGCAGAAGCTGGACTTTTGTATGGTAGTCAAGGGCTTCCGGAAGGGATTTCTGGGGAAATGGAAGGGTGGAAACGCGACAGGTTCATGAATTATGCATCAAGGTTCGAGGGAAGGTATGGAATCTTAAAAGGCTAGGGTCCCGTCCTCCCCCCCAGCCCCCAGTAAAATAACCTGTTGTAGGAAGTTATTTTTTTTTATACCCCTCAAGAATGTCTCAGCTCTTTGCATATGCGGGAAAGGATGAGGATGTGTGACTAGGTTTCTGAAGGCCCTACTCAGGCCCAGAAAGTAATAACTTCTCCCAGACATCAAAATGTGACTCATTCTCCACCACACTCTGCTCTTTGCTTTGGTTCCTGTTGCTCTCTATCCCCATACCTTGCTTACTTTTACATACAACTGTCATTACTACGTACGATTATTTGTTTACTGTCAAGCTCTTTCCACAAGAATATAGGCTCCATGAGTGCAAGACTTTGAACTGTTCGCCACTGGATCCTCACAGCCTGACATTAGTAAGTGGTCAGCAAACATTTGTTGCATAAATGACCGAACTGCAGTTTCTTACGAACACTTTATATGAACTCTTTCAGGAAGCCATTCCCTCTTGCTCCAACCCGTAATGGTCTCTTTCTCGAATTTCCACAGCACTTATATAGTGTGTGCCTTTTATTGCGATGTTAACTGTGTCATATATGTGAGTCCACAGCAAGATTGTCAGCTCCTTCAGAGAAGAAACTGTGTCTTACACATGGTGTCCCTTATACTACTTTGCTGAGTATATGATAGATGCTGAATAAATATTATGTTGTTTGAGCAAATGAATGCTGCCACCAGCCTGTGCCCTGATCTGCCCAGAATCCTTCTGGGCTCAGTTCTGTTTTGGCTGAAGCAGAACTGGAATCCTTCCTATTAACAGTAGTAGTCTGTTGCTTAAGGAGCCCTGGTGGTGCAGATGGTTAAATTGCTTGGCTACTAACCTAAAGGTTGGTAGTTCGAACATACCCAGCGACTCCACTGGAGAAAGACTTGGCGATCTGCTTCAGTAAAGATTACAGCCAAGAAAACCCTACAGGTCAGTTCTCCCATCACAAGATGGCGCACAACAGCCCCTTGCTAGAGAGCAAAATAACCCTAACCAAAATCATAATGCCCATTTTACAGATAGTTAAAATAAGACTCTGAAGGTTTAAGTTACTTTTCCAAGGTTACAGCAAGGAAGTAGCAGAGACACCTAAAAATAAGCATTTAAGTTAAGCATTTAAACAGATACCTGTCAGAATCCACTCGAGGGCAATGGGTTTGGTTTTTTGGTTTACTTAAACAGATGATCTTTATCTTTGGTTTGTAGTTGTACTTTGTATTGTTTTTAAAGTGTCTACTCTTGGACTCAGCACACAGCCTGTTAACTGAGCAGCAGCAGTCGGCAGGAGATTAAGGGTCTTAAGGGCTCAGATGTGACCAAAGCCTAGTTGCTGCATGGGTTAGAGATTGCTGATTCTGAGAAACCTTGACTTTGGGGGCTGGAAGGGAAAAGCGGGAGCAAAATAGTGGTAATCACTATAAGTGCTGTTCTTTTTCTATTTACATTAACTGTTACTCCCTGGGCCTCAATGTCTCCATCTGTCAGCCCTGCTCCTGCCCTTATTATAAGAAGCAAATTTAAGTACTTTGAACTCCTTAGAGAAAAGCTTTAGAGATAAATGTGGGGCGTACGGGGAGGAGGGCTGTTAATTTTAGCCTGGGGTTCTCCAGCTGGCACGCTGTTTTTATCTTGAATCACTTCCACACCCTGAGCTCTGCCTGGGAGATCCCTCCTCCTGGGGACTTCCTCATCCCTGGCTTGGTCTGAGCCACAATGGTAAGCATTCCAGAAAAATTTGTAAGAGAAGTTTGACTGAGTCATTTGATGCACAGCCCAGGAGGCAGGGAAAGCATGGTGATGACATACGTGCCTGTGATGTGTGGCCTCCCAAGAACCTTCTGATTCCTAAGGGGGCAGTATGGCCATTGTTTATCCTCTTGGTCTGTCACTAAGCAGTGACTTCGCTTGACCACTGGAATCCTTCTGAGGACCTCCCAAGGCCCCATAGCTCCAAGAAAAGATAAAGTTTAGGATCCATTCCCCAGGGCCTTGACTTTCATCATTAGCATGATAATGTGATCTAGTTTGGGATCATTCCTTTAGGACAACTAGGAGACTAGGATGGCCTCCTTTCTCTGTCTTTCCCTGCCATCTGACCTCCTATGGGGAAGGAGTGCAGTTAGGGGGAGAGAACAGGTGAGGATTTTCCAATGTCTTGCTGGTGTATTTTAATTTATTTAAATTTAGAGAGACGGCAGTCTAATCAGACAGTAATTAATTCCTTGTTCATTAGGGGCCTTCATGTGTGCCTTTTGCATATGTATGAGCCGTGGGGTCACACTGTCTCTCTGACAGTTGTTGAAGTAGAGCCCAGTGTGCCTCAGTGTGCTCTTGAGGCACTTGAGCTCCTTCCCCAGCTGTGGCAGTGCCCCTCTTCCTAACCCCTACCCTCACCTGACAAGGACTAGATTCCTGTGGGGAAAGAAAGGAAAGGTTAATAAGTCTTCCTCTCCCATCCTCCTCAAATTCCTCCCTCCAGTTCTTCCTTGCCCCCACCGTATCCCATCAGCACCTTTGCCACACCCTCAGGTGCCGCCCAGATCTCTCCTTTTCACCAGGGCTGTGGCTGCCACTGCTGCTGGTTGGGATCTCTTCAGTCCCCACTGGGTTGATTCGAGCCCCTTTCAAAGCTTGTTTTCTCACACCTCTGCTTTTAGTTGGCACTCCTTGCCCCACTCTGCTTCTTTCCTCTGTAGCAGTCTGTCCCTTTCTTAGTGAGTCTGATGCCCTGCAAGCAGCGTCTGCTCCAGTCCTGAAAAATACACTCCCTCTTCCACACACTCACCACTGCATGATGCATGGACTCAGCCACACTTCCCCTGGTACACACTAAAGCTCCCAAATGCCTAAGACACACACCTACCAGCACAGACACATCCTTAATTCTAGCTTCAAAGATAAACATACGGAGGCATTTGCAGTCCGGGGCAGCCCATACAGCCCTCTTGCACACTATACTGTCTTCCATCCTCCCTGGGGCTACCCCACTTCCAGGGAACAAGTGGGGCACAGATTGGGGGTGGGGAATGGGACTTGGGTGGTTACCGTGGCAACAGAGCCTAGCAACAGCTGAGAGGCTGATGTGTGGGCTTTTGCAGGGCTTGTACAAGAGGCAAACCTAGAATTGGGAGCTCAGAGGTGACTGCTCCCAGCTGGGCAGCCTGTGTTCCCTCCCCCAGACGCACCCCTTGATTCCACCCCCATGACCCAGCAGTGTCTCCCTCTGTCTGAGAGGGCAGAGTAGAGAAAGCCAATGAAAGTTCACTGCAGGACCTCTAATGCTGCACAGCTTTTGGGGGGCACGTGCAGGTGGGGCAGGTTAAGGAGGAAGGCTGAAAATAACAAAGCAGGGCAGCCTCTTTCCTGTAGCTCCTTCTCATCTCTTTGCCATTGCTCCACCTTTCTCTTCTTTCATCCTTCACCTTCCATCTGTCTTACCAACTCTCCCTTCTCCCTCTTCTTGCTTGCTCCGTTTCCTGCCCTTCATAATTTTCCTTTTTCTTCTGTCTCCTTTCTCATGGTCTCTCTTGACCTTCACTGACAAGTAACTAGCAAGCTACTATTCCACTCTCTCTTGTAGCAGCTGCTCCTCCTCAGAGCTGCTCCTGTCAGTTTCTCCTTTTCCCTCCTTCCATCCATTCCCAAGTTAAAGCCCCTGATTCCCAGCTCAGAGTCGGAGCTGGCCAGGTCACATCAGGTTTGCAGGGCTGCGTGGTTCCCCACCTCATCCTTCTTTCCCTCCCTCCTGGCTGCCCATCCGCTCTCCTCTCTACATAAGTCATAAAGCAGAACCAGGGGACTCATTTGAGTATCTTGCAAAGGCTTTATTTGAAAATTTTGAAACTTATGTCCCACAGGAATTCAAGATTATCACCACAAGAAGAAAGATAATACAAAAATATATATCACAGCATAGGAGCCAGGTAAGAGGGGAAGAAGGAAGGAAGGTGGCGAGACAGTGAGAAGTAGGGTTGAACCTGAGGAGAGGGAAATGGGGAAGAAGACGGAGGGAGGGAGGAAGGGATGTGAGGGAGCCTGGGAAGGGGAGGGGTAAATTTGGAGGCAGAGCTCCCTATGGCCTTGAACCAGCTGGCTCCAGTCCCTGGAAGCCTAGGTGGAGTTAGGGAGGCCAGGGAGTGGAGGACTGGCTTAGCGGGCTCTGAACTCCAAAGAGTGTTGCACTCACAGACAGCCAGGACAGACAAGACACAAGAGACTTAGGAGGAAGGGCAAACAGGAGCCCCTTTCTCCTGTAGTGCAGCAGGTGGCTCCCCAAAACCCATCTCTCAGACAACAGAATTTATCAATGGGGGTAGGGGAGAAGTTTGGGGCCTCACTACCCCCAATCCCATGGGGGAGCCCACAGAGTAATGAGAGTCCCCTTGGAGTAGAGTGGCGGGGGGGGGGGACAATGAAACACATGACATGAAATGGGATGGGGCCATGATAGATGAGGGCTAAGAAGCCCCCAACGCACCTCCCATCATATGGGGCAGCATGCAGGGGCCACAGAAACTAGACCAATGGGTGTTCATGAGGGAGAATGTGAGCACAACACGCAATACTACAACACTGGGCTGGGAAATGCATGGAGAGCTAAGGTGTGTGTGAACCACGGACCACTGAGTGACTGCGCTGAGCATGGGATGAGGGAGAAGAGAAAGGGTGAAACAGGAGGGAGAATGTGAGAGATCAGCTGAGGGGAGAGGTGTAGACAGGGAGATGGTACAGAAGACTGGCCGTACATAGGCATGGCCTGTGAGGGTGGAGGTGAGTGTGCAAGGCTTCCATGTGAGTGTGCAAGGGTGGGAATGGGGGACCAGAAGCCACCAATATGTGATGCTCCCACCTACAGGAGGATGAGCAGGTAGATAGGATTGCCCGCGGGGCCAGGGAGCGTTCCACAGGTGGTATGCAAGGTCAGAGCCAGGAGCACCTGTGGCCCCTGCTCCCCACAGCTGCCTCACCCTCAGTGGGGTGGGGGCTATGACAGCCCCTTGGCCTCCTGCTTGGTGGCACCCCAGAATTGGGGGGGCATCACAGATTCACCAGGGGAATCCTGAGAGGAAGAGGGAAAGGGCACAGTCAGGGACCAAGGGATAGGTCAGAATTGAAGGGGAGGTCCAAGGCAAAGAAGGGGAATCGGGGTTAAGAGGACAGAGCTGGAGTTAAAGGGCAATATGAGAACAGGACACAGATCCAAAGAAAGTAGGGAAGGAGGCAGAGTCCCCCAGATAGGAGCTGGTCTAGCCCCCTGGGAGGGCCAAGGACCAGGCTGTGAAGGACAGCTAGGGGCTGTGGGAGGGCTAGGCCTGCCCTTTCCCCACCCACCCTGGGAGTACCCCACCACAGCTCAGGAGACCTAAGTTGCCTTCCCGCCCCTCCCTCCCATCCCCTTTCCCCTGCCCTCACCGGTTCAACTGGAAGGCTGGAGCCCCCTTGGGCTGGGGCATCCCAGGTCGGGGTCCCCCTCGGGTCTCCTCGTGGTCAGGGGTGGGGGTGGGCGAGTCCCCGAAGGCCCCCAGCACAGTGACTCCAGCTGGGGACAGGTCTGTCAGCGGCTGCTGGCTCTCTTCTTGCCTCAGGGAACCTTGCTGGCCTGAGGGCCTACGCCGTTTCTGGCTGCGGTCCCAGCTGGGGCACCAGAAGGAAAAAGGTTCTCTCACACACTGAGGTACCCCTTGGTCACCTACAGCCCTGGTCACCCCCAGCCTCCCCCAGGTACTCCCAACATCACCCAACATAGAAACCTGGCCTCCAACAGTTCCCTATACTAAATCTCCATAAAACCATTCCCCTACCCACAGGGGACTCGGGGGTCAGTGTTCCCAGAGCCATCCTCCAGACCTGAGCCTGATCCAGATTCACAGAATGAGTACCTTCTCCCCACAAACAACAGGGCTCCCAGAATCCACCTGCTTCCCCATGTACAGCCAGAAGAGCTATTTCCCTCCTAGGCAGGTGCCTGGCAGGTTTAGTTCTAGTTCAAAGTCAGCTAATGACCTGGAGAGCTGAGTCTAATGATTCTCTCAGTAAAGTGTGAAGGACTGAGTGATCCATTATTAAATGTGTGGACAGAAAGCACTAGATTTTCTCCCTCCTCTCCAGGCAGCCCTAAGACTGGGTCAGTATTCTCTGGGAGGAAGTGGGGACAAGGGATTCCTATCAAAGCCCCCAACCCAAAACCCACTACCATCAAGTCAGTTCTGACTCCTAGTGACCCTATGGGACAGAGTGGAACTGCCCCATAAGGTCCCCAAGGTTGCAGTCTTTAGGAAAGCAGACTGCTGTATCTCCCCTGCAGAGTTGCTGGTGGGTTCCAACAGCTGACCTTTTAGTTAGCAGCCAAGTGCTTAACCATTGCACCACCAGGGCTCCTTCCACAGCCCCTCGTGTACATAAATAATTCCCCATCTCTTCCATTATTCTTCTATTTCCCTTGGGAAGGAATCGGCCTTGATTTCTCACTGCTTTCCCCTTCTAAGTCCTTACTACCTTTTTCCAAGGTCTTACCTTAATCCATAATTTCCTACCCCACTACCCCCAGCAAAGTTGCTGCCCTTAACTTCCTCCCTCCTTCCAGCGCAGACAATCAAATATTCAGTCTGCCAGCTTCTCTGCAGCTTACCAGAACTTGAAGATGATGCCCGTGGCCACGAGAACAATGATGATGGAGATGGTGATTGTGACATAGAGCTGGGGGTCCACACCTAGATGAGTGGGGAGAAAGTTTTAGGGAGGCCTGACGTGGTAGGAGCCAGAAGAGGGTGAGAAGTTTCAGAAAGCATGAGGAATCCTGTCATTTGACTCCACACTGCCGAACTCTGCTTTTCTGGAGCTACCCATTTCATTCTTACAATCAGCTTTCCACTGAGTATGCTGTTCTTTTCCTCCTAAATCCTTTTCTTCAACTTTCCCAAACATACTTCACCAAATCTTATGTATACCTGTGATGAGGAGGAGGCTCCAAGATCGGAGAGAACCTGTCTCTGCATAGACTCTACAGAGTGGAGATGTCCATCTCTGTCCTGGCCCCACCCCAAACCACTTGGCCTGTCCCTCCACCATCCCTCCCTGGGCTGAGACTTCACCCTGGCGTGGTGTTCCTCTGCCTACAATACTCCCACTCTTCTCAAGGTCCAACTCAAATGTCAGTTCCTTGAAGGCTTCCTGATCCCCAGGCAGAGGTAATCGCTCCCTTTTCTCTTTTCCTAAAGACATGCTGTACGTGCCTTTATGACAGCATTAACCACATCGATTCATTCCGAGTGCTTACATATCTCTCCTCCAGTGAAACTTAAGGGCTCAGATGGCATCTTCTTCATCTCTGCATCCTGTGGCCAGCATAGTGCCTGGTACATTTGTTGAGGGAGCTACCAGACAATGTTTCTATTTCTGCCCCTTAGATTCTTCAGCCAGCCTTCCACCCCTCATATCCCTACCAGCCTCTCCCACTCACCTTCCCCACGGCCCCCAAACAGGAATGGCCGCAGGGTAGCAGGCGCTTCTCCAAGGATAAGCCCATCTCCATCACCCGGTATGGAGTCTGAGTTGGGGTGAGGGGTAGCCAGCCCATGAGGGGCTGCAAAACCATAGTCCAGGGGCAGAAATCCAGGATTGGCAGAGTTGGGGTCCCCCCCATCCTCTCGAGACACTGTCGGGCCCCACACGATAGCCCAAGGGTACTGAGAAGAGGGCGGCCCCTCCTCGAAGCCTGATGGGGTGGCAGGGGGCGCAGTGCCTGGCAGAACTTGCCGGCGTGATCTTGGGACCCGAGGGGATCGGCTTGGTGGGGGTGCCCGCTCCCACACACATACGTGGCGTGGGGCCGAGGGGCCTCCCCGGGCACATGGGGGGCGGGCTGGGGCTGGTGGGGTTCGAGGGGAGGAGGAGGAGCCCTGAGCAGGCAGCAAGAGGGGCAGCAACAGCAGTGGCCAGAGAGGGAGGAGGTGGGACAGCAGCAGTGCAGGCCTGCAAGAAGGGAGAGAAAGTGAGTGAGACACAGGCCCACCGTGGGCCTGGGTGTCGGGAGGACAGGCTCATACCAGAGGTCTGGGCTGCCAGGGTTTTCCCTCCAGGTTTCTATGCAAAAGCAGGTGGGCCTTGGGCAGATTGTGGCCTTGTTTCCTATCTCCCTAGGGTCTAGCCCTCAGGATGAAAGACCCTGGGTGCCCCAGGAAGGAAAGGGCCAAGAGCGAAGGGAAAGTGGTCTTCAAGCCCCCCTTTGCTGTGCCAAACTTACCACATCCTGGATTCCATGTCTGGGGTCTTCCTCAGCTGTCACCCAGATTTTTGACCTTTACTGGGGGGGAAAAGGACAGTCACACCCAAACCCTGCCCTGTGTTCATCCCCTAGCTCATTCATCCACCAAATCTACCCCCACATTCCCTCCCAGACTGCCCAGCCACCAGCTGTGCTGCTACCACCCAGGATCCACTGCTTCTTAGCATCCTTTTGGGGAATAAACTCCCAGAGTGGTTCCCTGTCCAGCCCCCAGCTCCTATGTGCAACTTCCCAGGTCCCTGTTACCACCTCATCCCAGGGTCTATTCTCCCTTCTCCAGCTTCATTCTCACTTCCTCTGCCTGAAGCTCCAAGCTTTTCTTAGATCTTAATTTAGAGTCAAGAACCTTGTGATTCTTTGAGCACCTACCGCTAGGGAAGGAGCCTGAGGGTGGGGGGAGGGAAAGGGAAGTCAATCTGTATGTGTGTTTGTGTGTGAGAGAGAGAGAGATGGGGGCAGCCTGCCCATCGCACTTTTAGTCCAAGGCATTTCTCTAGTGATTGGCCCCAGGAGCCTACATCTTCCACGAGAAGGGGAGGAGGAGATGGAGGGATGAGAGAAAAACTACAGAATATTTAATCATCCAAATGCATAGATGCCCTCTGAAGGAAGATGGAGTTGGGAAGAGGCCACCCCCACAAATGTAGCTCTCCTGGGCAAAGCGTCCTGGGACAATTGGGACCATTGGTTTTGAAAGAGAAAGGGCATATTCTCAGAGCTGAGGGTGGACCCAGGGGGGCCAGGATCCCCAGAGTGAATGAAGCTGTGACAGCCAATGTTATCTGGATTCTGGGTCATAAAATCTGCACAGTGAGTACTCAGAATCACAGGGACATAAGATGAAAATGGCTAGGAAGATTGAAATGGGGTAGTGGGCAGTAGGAAGAGATGTGAAGGGGGTCAAGGGCTGGGAGAGAGAAGGCTGGTTAAGGGTGAGAAGGGAGGAGAAATGTGAAGAGGAAGAGGTGGTAAAGTAGAGGGTGAGAAGTCAGTCCTGAAGGAGAGCAGACTGGAAAACTGAGGAGAAGAGAAGGGGTTCCGGAAGAACGGAAGAGTGGAGGCTGCTGAAGGGAGAAAAGGATAAGAGAAAAGGTCAGGGAGGGGAAATTAAGAGGGTGAAGAGGTCACAGAGCAGAGGAAGAAGGGGAGAAGGGGCAGGAGGAGAAGGAAAGAAGGGTCCAGGCCAGCAGGAGAAGTGGAGAGAGTGGCAGGGGAAGGGAGAGTAGGGGGCAGCGAAGACCAAGGATGGGGAGAAAGAAAACGGGAAAGGAGAAAGAGTTGAGAAAAAATGAGCGGAGGAAGGGACTGGGGGACAGAAAATAGGAATAACAAAGATGGAGGAGTTGGAAATTGTTTCTTCACATTTAAAGGGATATGGAGATGTGGCAAGAGGGGGCTTAGAGGGACGATGGGAGGGAGGGAGGAAGAGTCTGAAGCTAGAGGGAGAAGGAGTGTTAGAGCAAACCAGTGAAGCGGAGAAGGGCTCACGCGGATCCGTGGACAGCTGACTCCAGGACTCACTTGCCCTTCCGCCTTGTGCATCCCCTCCACCAACGTCACCTCCTACCTGGACCCCGCATCCCTCTTAGCCACCCCCTCCAGGAAGCCCGCAGTCCCCAGGTTCGCGCGCTACCCCCCTCATCTCCTCGATCCTTACGGACCTGTTGTGCGCAGGAGACGAAACTAGGGGGGTGGGGCGGGAGCCTCAGACTGGGAGAATTGGGCCCCATTCCCAGCGCGGCCCCCACCCCAAGCCTCCCGCAGGCCCGCGCTCCCCAGATAGGGCTGGAAAGCGCGAGAGGGGGGTGGGGGTGGGGGTGCAGGACGAAGAACTGGAGGTCGGCAAAGGGACTCCAAGGGAGGGAGCGCAAAGAGCCGAAAGGGGGCGGAAGGCAGGAAGATGCACGGAGCCGCTGGCTGAACCGAAGGAGGGATGGAGGCAGCCGCGGGAACGGTGACCGTTGTACCAGGGAAGACAGGATGGAATCGGACCGGCGGAAGGATAGAGACCAAGGCGGGGAAGGAACGCTGGGGGCTGGAGGCTGGAGCCTGGACGAGGGTGCGCGCCCGGAGGGGCGGGAGGCGAAGGACGCGGAGTCGGGAAGGGTAGGGCCGGGATCCCACGGTTGGGGATGTGGGGGTCCCTCGCACTCACCTGCTTGCCTGGCGCGGCGGCGCGGCGACTGCGGGCGCTCAGAGGTGCGCGGGGCTGGGGGATCGAGGGAGCGTGGGCGGTACGGGGCATGGTCGGGGGGTCTGGCCCGTAGCGGGGCGCTGGAGCGGGTGGGAGGCGGGCGCCTGGGGCGCGGGGCGGCGGCGGCAGGAGATGCTCGGCTCGGCTCGGCTCGGCTCTGACTGCGCTAGGCTCGGCGGCGGCTCCTATCGCTCGGTCTCTGCCTCTCCCCCTCCCGCTTGCAGGCCATGCACGGTTTAACCCTCCTGCTGCCGTGCCGCAGGAGACGCGCCCAGCTCTGTCCCAGGTGGAGGGTTGGAGCCGGCATCCGGGGGCGAGGGACCGTGAGGTTCCCCAGGTTCTGATGGCAGGCTTCCCCGCCTCCTTCACCCCAACTCCATGGACACCCATGATCGCGCCCGTCAGTTTCTGTGATTTTCAGTCACCCAACGCTCTGGGTCTCCAACTGTGTTTCAAGCACCCCCACCACCCCAAGTGCCCAAGGTCAAGGCCCAAGGGCAGAAGACCCCCCTACCATTTTTGGATTACTCCAACAATTTGATCCTGGATTTCACTCTGGCCCAGCTACAGTGCCTTCTCCCTAAAGCAACCCAAATTATCTTTAAAAGAAGTAAATCAGGTCGCATATCACTGGGTTTTTCTAGTTTCCCATCCCAACTTCTTACTGTGACAAGGCCCGACACTACCTCACCACTAGATAGCTCTAATTTCCTCTCCTACCACCTGCTGTGCTCCAGTTAACCATGCACCTGGTCTATGTTCCTAGAATTAGGCAAGTTTAACCTGCCTTAGGGCCTTGCACTTGTTCCCGCTGCCTGGAATGCTTCTCCCTTGCTTTTGACAATGACTCACTTAGATCCAATGTCTCCTCTGAGAGGCTTTCCTAACCTTTTTATCAAAAGTGAGAGGAGCCCTGGTGGTGCAGTGGTTAAAGTGCTTGGCTGCTAACATAAAGATTATAGCCTTGGAAACCCCATGGTGCAGTTCTCCTCGGTCGTACAGAGTCACTATGAGTCAGAATTGACTTGATGGCAATGGGTTTGGTTTTGGGTTTTCTATCAAAAGTAGCCTCTCCTGCCCCAACTCCCACCCCATCTCACCCCATTCTTGTCTATCACATTACCCTGATTTATTTTCGTCATTGCCCTTCTAGGACACCAAAATCTCTTAGTTTCCCTCCAACCTCACTGGCTCATCATCTGCTCGACCTCTAAATATTGGAGCCTCCCAGGACTGAGTCCTTCTCTTTCCACACTCTCTGTCTAGTGATCTCATCCAGTCCCAGGGCTAAAATACTATGTAAATGTCAGCGAGTCCTAAATTTATATCCAGAGCTCCAGACTCATTTATCCAACAGCCTACTTGACATCTCCACTTGGATGTCTAATAGCCACGCAAAGCTAATGTGGCCAAAATAGATGTCTTGAATTCTCCAACCCCCAACCCATTTCCCTTCCAATATTCCCCATTTCAGGACATGGTAGCTCCTAGCTGTTCAGGGTAAAATCTAGGAATCATCCTTCCACCTTTTCCTTTTTCTCACTGACTCCCTCCCTGTATTTAATCCGTCAGCAAATCCTCTGGGCTCTGCCTCCGAAATATATCCTGAATCCATCTACCTCTCTACATCTGTACTGCTGTCTCCTTGGTTCAAGCCATCATCTCTTGTCTGGAATATTGCAATAGCTTTCTAACTGGTTCCTTAATTCTCCCCTTGCCCTTTACAAGCTTGTCTTCACAATATCCAGTGATATTTAAAAACTCTAAATCATATCATGCTCTCCCCTGCTTAAAACTTCCAGTGGCTTCTCATTGCAATTGAAATAAATCTGAACTCCTTGTAAGGAGAGGCCCACCAACTTGTACTCCCCCTCAGAAACAATGCTCCTGCCAGATAGGATTTCTTGCTGTTCTGCCAGTTCCCATTGATGGCGACCCTGTGTTTCAGAGTAGAACTGCCCTCCATAGAGTTTTCATTACTGTGACCTTTCAGAAGTGATTGCCAGGCCTTTCTTCTGAGGCACCTCTGAGTGAGCTGGAACTGCCAACCTTTTAGTTAGTAGCCCAGAGCTTAACCCCATTCGCACCACCTAGGGACTCCTTGCTATTCTATCTGTTGCCATCAAGTCGATTCCAACTCATAGCGACCCTGTAGGACAGAGTAGAACTGCCCCACAGAGTTTCCAAGGAGCAGCTGGTGGATTCAAACTACCAACCTTTTGGTTAGCAACCAAACGCTTAGCTGCTGGGCTGCCAGAGCTCCCCCTTGCTGTTCTAGAACATCCAAAATCATTCTCTACACACTCCTGTACTTTCAGTTATTCCCTCTTCTTGGAATGCATTGCCCCCCGTTCCATCTTCACTTGGTTGACTCCTTCTGTCATTCAGATCTCTGCTCAAAATCTAAAGTGGCTCCCACTCTACTTCATCACTATGCTTCATTATCTTTCCAACTTTTCACTCTCTGAAATGATCTCATATTTGTTCACTGTTTATTGTCTGCCCCCCTCCTCACCCCTGTGTACACACTGGAGAGCAAAGATCTCATTTGTCTTGTTCACCCTGTATCCCAGCTCCTACCTCAGTGTCTGGCACATAGTAGATGCTCAATATTTATTTGGTTAGTGAGCTTCTCCTGGGACCCCTGCCCACTCTGAACTCTTGTCATTCTCTCCTCTGCTCTCCACTTGCCTTTTGTCTGTGTCTGCCTACTTTCCCTGATCTCTGCCCTGTGCCGAATGATTCAGGCTGGGTCTCGGCTCACACCCACACCCCTCCAGACTCTTGCCCTCCATCCGCTGGGTTATTACTATCATTAGCCTGG